CCTTGTAGTTTCAGTGCAGCACATTTTGGGAGGTATGCAGTCAGGATTTTGCTGAAAAACATCACCAAAAACTTCAATCCCAAATAGCGTCCAAACGGTGCATTTTAGCGACTTGAGCCGTCCAGGCGAAATTGTAGGCATTTTGATTGCGCATCTGCTCAAGAACATTGGCACACATTGGAGCATTAGTTTTGGAGATATTTGCATTTGCATTTGAAATTTTTGAATTAATTTTGAATTATCTGCCCTTTGCTATTGGGCCTACAGCCTAGAGATTTTAAAGCGCGATATGTACCCCTCGGTGGGCATCTGGACGAATTTTTTCAAGCGAATCTGTCCAGCGGTGCTCTCTGTAGCTCTGGTACAAAATCCGGCGGAATAATAAATAATAATAATAATAATAAAAACATTAACGATTACAATAGGTCTCCTGCCTAAAGGCAAAGGAGCCCTAATTAAAACACGAACGATTACAATAGGTCTCCTGCCTAAAGGCAAAGGAGCCCTAAAAATGCCAAGTTGCCACACACATACACAAATCACTGCCTTCGCGCAACAGCCGTCATTCTGCTATCCCATGCCGGAATCGAGTTGAAAGTTTATAATCATACTGCACCGAATCCAGCAGTGTACAGAAGAGGTCCCACTCGGCCATTTTGCAGGGGTCTGATCGCCAACGCGTCGATTCTCGTGCCGTTGCCACTGTTTCATCATCTTGGCCCTTTTCACACTTGCAAAGTTCTTCAATTGTATCCGTGATGGGAATGTTTCAGGGCATACACAATTCTACCATAAATGTCAGCTTCGTTAATCGACAGTAGGCCTAACTTTACACGATCAAATCATTGTGGTCATCCTTGATTGGACCAGTCTACGTAAGATTACATGAGGTTGAGATGGTAGCATAACATGGAATTCTTTCATGGTCATTGCAATTCCAGTGGTATTGCAGTAATTGAGATTGTAATGTTACTCATCAAGTTTAATTTTAACAAGGACTGAATACATTTAGTTTTGTGTATTATATTGACAGTTATTCATTTCGAACATGATGTAACCTATCTCCCTCATTAGATAATAGCGTAACCCTTCTTTTGTCGTTTCTCGTATCTGGGGCGACAGCGAACCTGACCACGAGAGGCTACATTCAAAGAGCTCCTTGGAATAAGGCTTCTCACTACAAATTGCTTTACAATATCGATAAATAGTTTGGTTTGTTCAATTTCCGGGATTCATTGGAATTCAACATAGGCAAATTTAGTTTAAAACCGACGGCAATTATATCAACACGAGTTGATAAAGTTACAAATACCGGAGGCTTGCTGAGGATAGTTTTACTTTTATCAACGAGTGTTGATATATATTTAATATCAAAAGACACGAGGGCGAGATTCTATTTATCATTAAAAATCGCTCATTTGTCTTCAATTAGGAGATAAACCTAGTGTGTTTGAAAATCAGAGACATGCTTTACTGAATTGATGGCGACTAAATTTCAATTGGAACCGAACGCACACACTAGGGTTATCTCCATTCTACCATGAACCATTTAAAATCGAACTTCCTCGCTCTGCGGAAGACACTGCGAAATCTAGCTAAGATACATAGCGTTCACTGACATGAACATACATAGCGTTCACTGACATGAACGCTATGCAGCACCTCCATAGGCCGCAATGGTGGAAATCCTTTGTCGCACTTTCGCGCACTCGTTACGATTTTTGCGCACGAAAAACTTATGTGAATTACTTCTTTGTGCTTATAACTACACGTGCGCCCTATTTTCGTTATCAAAATATACAAAAATATATCTTTACAAGCCATCAAACATCTCAGTCGATCGCTCACATATGAGCGGGGCCATTTTGAATCACGTGACCTGTGACGCGAAGGGGTTTTCCCTCCCAAAAATAGTAACACAGGTGTTCCACACCTCGTTGCTTGTTGACAACACATTTTCATACATTTTAGGCAATTAAAACGATTGTATGGAGATTTTCGTTTCCAATCTAGACTGACTGACCACCCCTGCTTTTCAATAGCTGTTTTCAAAGGAATTGCTGGTGAGTTTTCAATGCTTCATATGATATAAGATTATTGCTGTCACCTCCTACAGTTCCATGGGTGTCTCGGGGTACACTTACAGAATACCGGATACCTAATTATATACATTCTATTGTGCGCGTGAGGCTCCTATATATAGAAGAAACAGAGAGCGCGAGCCTGCGAGCGATCCAATAAAAATACGAATTTAAGGTAAAAAATAAGGTTAAAATCGAATTCCTCACCTTACTTCCGGTTTAGGAAACCTAAACTGGGGATTTTAACAGCGTTCACTGACGTAAACAGAGTAAAAAGTAATCGTGTGTTGAAATTTTATTCAAATGCATGCTGGGAAAAGGAACTCTACAGTGTGGGAACACTCTGATGGTAAGTGATTTTTGATTGGTAAGGTAAGGTAGGTAAGGCTTTTAAATAAAGGGGGGTACCCCCTTTACCCCCATTATCTTACCTTTTTTTAGCTTTAATATTGTTTAATATTTAATGTTTAATATTGAACGCTGCTTCAACACAGCCTTCATTCATCGCGTGCCGTTGCTAAGGAAACAAAATGGAAGTGCGCAAAAATAAAGGCGCAATCAAAATAAAAATGGCGGATAGGTATCCGGTATTCTGTAATCTAACGCATTTTTAATGCAAAAATTTCCAATTGCCTATGTGGAATATTCGAAAGTCAGCGTCAAAATCCATGGAGTTGTTGTTATGATCCGCCATCATTGTGGTCAAACGGAAGTAGTTCTCACAATAAGATTTGTCAGTGCGTGGTGAAGCGGCCTTACAATCAGATGAGCGTCAATCCGCAATTGATGCCGTCTGATTTTTCTGAACAACCAATCAGAATCTAGTATTTTCTTGATTCATGGTAGAATGGAAAATGTACGTCTCTGAACAGGTAGACTATCTGTACAGCCATTTGACTTGCTGTGCAACGACGTCATCGCATTGTGACGTCATCACGTATATGACGTCATATTGTTATGTCAGGATTTCAACGTCATAGCATTGTGGGTAATGTATAGAGGATATTATATGAGTGCACATGTCATACTATGTTTCCGACACGAGTGCCTAAATGTTGGTATTTCCCGAGCGAGAGCCATAGTTTTGCACAAGTCTCGTAAACATAGTATTATATGGGCACGAATATTATATTCTGTTTATTACCGAAGTTGTGAAATTGAGGAAAAACAACCCAAATCTACTTTCAAACAAAGGCTGGCTACCCGTCGATGCCGAATGTAGACCGCAACGTCATAGAAGAAACGTGACGTCATAGCATTGTTCATGACGTCACGTCACCATGACAAAGTGATATTTTGCCCTAGGGCATCGTATGAAAAATGTGAACCCCGATATGTTCGCCCTCGTAGGTAATATAAGATCCGGGGTAGAATAGGTCTTCAGCAACCCATGTGCTTGCCATAAAAGGCGACTATGCTTGTCGTAAGAGGCGACTAACGGGATCGGGTGGTCAGTTTCGCTGACTTGGTTGATCGATGCTCATGCTGTTGATCACTGTATTGTCTGGTCCAGACTCGATTATTTACAGACCGCCGCCATATAGCTGGGATATTGCTGAGTGCGGCGTAAAACTAAACTCACTCACTCACTCGTAGGTAATAAATTTGATTATGTCAGGGCATTGTCCATAATGTACTTTGATCTCACACAAGCAATATCTCCTGTGGAACACAGGTTTGGATGATAAACATGTTTATTCATGTCAACATGATGTTTACCAACCTTTTTCTGATTGATATTCTTCATCGGCCATGTCAACCATCACCTGAAGTTATATACAGTGTTTTACACTGATAACTGTCATAGTGTGTTACACCAGATCTGGGGTAGAATTAATCTTCATTAACCCTTGTTTGTCAGCAATATTCCAGCTGTATGGCGGTGGTCTGTAAATAATCGAGATGAGCATCGATTTATGCAACTGGGATACGATGGCATGTGTCAACCAAGTTAGTGAGCTTATCCACCCAATCTCGTTTGTCGCCTCTTACGACAAAAATGGGTTACTGAAGACAAATTCTAACCGGGATCTTCACGGGTAAAATTTTGTTACGACCTCCCACGAAGGCACGTTCAATGTTTGTGGTAAAAGTTTGGAAAAGTCACGAATTGCTAAATACGTCATGTTGCAAATATTTGTTGAAAATTGAATAAAACTGCATGGGCTCTGTATTCTATGTGTTCCTCGTACGTCACAATGACTTTTCTGTGAACCAAAATTACATTGTAATTTTCAGTGATATGTTCACACATTCCGAAGAAAAAAATAAGTTTTGCTTGACGAGGTCGGCTGTCACAGGCTATCTGGAGCAGACCAGTCAGACAGGTTTTTCCCCTTGTATGCTGCGCTTGCACACCTGGGACCGTAGCGCCAATATTTGTCGCATTGACGATTGGAACAATCCGGTCGTCAAGTTCGTTGTTTTGGTCGAGGCATATCATCGTATCCCGGCTAATTGCCTTGATTGTTGATGCGCATAATGCCGGTCCCAGGATTGTTTGGCCAATAATTGAGTTTTTCTCAGACTGAACATTTCGGAGTATGGTGTTCAACAATAAACAAGATATCTCTTTTACAAACGTGCGTATCAATACTGACCTATATCAGCCATAAACTAGGCTATCACTAAGGCGAGTTAACAGCATTAAAAAAGACCAATGTGTTTATTAATAGCCATGGTTTAAAAAACAGTCCTTGCGGGCAATTTACCAATTTACTCATTGCTGCCAAGTTACATTTGCAGTTCAAATATAATAGGCATAGAAATTTGTGATGATGTTCACCCAAATCGGCGCATTACGCAACGTGGTGTATAAATAGATTTGGATTTCCCTATCAATGACAGATACTGCGCAGTATTTCACAGGGTTTGAACGACTTATGTTCTCTTATGAAAACCTATGTTCACATGTCACATCATATCTACAGAAAAGCTGATGTTCCTTCCCATTTCTTCCCGGAGTTCCGTCGTGAATAGATTCAGACATAGTGCAATGTGAAACGGGTCTTGGTAGAGCCAGGAGTTGATCTCTGTTTCCAATCATACTTTCTGTTCAGACGATGGATAGCTGTCCCTCGGAAGTACACCGGAAAGATATCAAAGAGGGGTCTACCACAACTCTTCAAAATAAAGAAGCAAAGCAAAAGCGATCCATGAGTGAGAAAATGACAGTGAACGATAGATCAACGAGTGTCAGTTGTTGGACCCTGCCAATGATGTGTAAACACATCGACTTCAGGAGACATGTGTTTCGCTGGTCTCGTGACCATAGCAAAGAGGACCAATCCAGTTTAGAAGAGACCTTGTTACAGGCAAAGGACGGTTACAAGAACAGCATCCGCAGGATTACTCGTAACAAAAGTACCCGAAGTATGACTGAAGCGGATGTTAAGCACGTCATCTTCGTAATGATCAGTCCCCTGTTGGAACAGCTTGGATTGACGATGAACGCCGAAGAGACGATTAATATGGACTGCATGCCATCATGCAGGCTTGATTACATTTTGAAATTTGATGATATTCCTGTAGGAGCCATCGAAGTTAAATGCGCGGGCTCCTTCGACGAGAATGCCTACGCCCAGGCAGTTATTCAGCTGGTTGTCCTGCAGCAATGGGCGTATAAGAAGGGTCGTCATATCCACGTGGATATGATTGAAGTACCTATTGTTAATATCCTGACTGACGGAGAAAGATTTGTATTGATGAAGTTGAAACGAGAAAAGATATATGTACAAAAAATCAAGCCAAAGGAGGGTTCACTACCACATAAACTTCTTGTTCGATGCATTTCTAAGGACTTTCGCACCGTTTACGAACAGCTCCAGGATGCATTGTCTCGAGCAGTGTCCAAACTGAGACAACTATCAAATTCACCGACATATGAGTCAGATGAGAATTATACACATGCCGATGACAGTCAAGGAGGGGCTCCTGTGCAGGGATATAACAAGTATCCAAACGAAATCAGGTTGGTTCGGAGCATTATCTGAGGGACCAACGGTTCCATACTCTGGGAGGGAAGGGGGTTATGGGACTCGGTTGGTGGCTGCAGGTAGCCGGAAATGGAGAGGGCGGGCATACTGTCTAAAATATTATAACTTAAGACTATGAGCCCACATATTATTTTCAAAGCTTCAAGAAATGTGTTCTTTAGCTAACAATTTCTCATGTTGTGTATTCCTTCCTACCCCCACCCCAACGAATGTCAAATGGCGAATGCATAGTTATTGCCCTCAGCAATCAGACGTCACAGTTGGATACAATATTTGTGGTGTGTTGGCAACACCTACACAATGTCTGTCTTGTAAGTCACAACCAACATACTTTTTCAAAATGTCGACGTTGGTGTTAAAAAAATAATCCGCCACATGGTGTGTACTTTCTTTTGTACGTCAGTCTACAATGTTTGGTTGTTCCGTCTCCTCCAGCGGCCTCCAAATGTTTTACTCCCAGTCTAAATATAGCAACGAGCACACAACGTACCTGTACTGAAATCCGTTCCACGTAAACCTACCAAGTTGGACCGACAGTTAGCAGTTATCTAGCGAGTTATGGATCACTTACTTGATAACCTCTTAGTATCTGCACCGAAGTCTGTAGAAGTATCTCCCTTGTTCAGTCATACTTTTTATAGAATGACCAGAAATTATTGAGAATTTTAGGAATATGTTTAATTGGATTTCTAGTATAAACAACCTTGACCAGCAATCAAGTGCTTGGTTTCATTCAAGAGAGATAACTCCGTTAATCCTTTTTCATTAGTTTGTGAACAGTTATCCCCCTTTGTTTACTTGCTAGCAGACGACATTTTCAGTGATCCTCAGTATGGATAAGGTAGAGAAGAGGAAGTAGATTTTAGAGTATTATAACAAGGACATCAGATCAGCTAAAGTGATTTCAAGTAGAACAGGCATCCCTTTGTCCACTGTTTATCGTGTTTTGAAACATATTGCAAATGGATATGGCATTGAGCACCAGGGAGGCGCAGGTAGGCCCAGAAAATTGACTATCGGTGACAGGAGGCGGCTTGATATTCTTGTTTCTAAAAACAAACGAAGGAGTTTAGAAAACTTAAGGCTGGATATGATTGATAGAGGAACTGTGGCTGTCTGTAAGGAGACAATTAGAACTGAGCTGCATGCAATGGGTTGGCAGAAAAGTCGAGGAATTCCATCACCGATCATGAAACCTGAACAAAAGGAGCGAAGGTTGAACTGGTGCTTACAGCATAGAAACGTTAACTGGGACAATGTGATTTTCTCAGATGAAAGTTCTGGACCAAACAAACTGAAAAACCTTTGTATCAGCGCCCAAAGTACAGTCCGAAATTTAACGTGTGGGGTGGCATATCTGTGTTAGAGGCAACGCCCCTCTGTGTATTTGAAGGGAATGTGAACAGTGAGCGGTACACAGATATTCTCGAGGGACATTTACTTCCATCTGCTCACGTGTTCTATGGACATTTTTGGATTTTCCATCAGGACAACGACCCAAAACATCGTTCAAAGCATTCACAGGCCTGGTTTCGGACCCAAAATATGACATTATTAGATTGGCCAAGCTATAGCCCTGACATAAATCCAATAGAAAATGTTTGGGGACTTATGAAGGAAAGTGTCAATAAGAAAAATCTGACAAATATTGCTGAAATGAAAGAAGAGCTGGTCCGATACTGAGACAGCATGGGCCGAGACTTTCTAACTTCTTTGATCAGTAGTATGCCCCGCCGCACTGAAGCCTGCATTGCTGCCCATGGTGACTTGACAAAATACTAACAGTTCACCTGTCTTTGAATCTGGAGTTATGTTCTGCTAATATTCACATTTAATACGTGAGTAATGAGTGAAAAAAATAAAAAAATTACAATCTTTAAATTCTCAATAATTTCTGGTTGTACTGTAAAGATAGGAGTCAGTCACTCAAAGTTTAAAGTCACATCAGCTTTTTTTCGGCTTTAATGGCTATAACAAGTTATAGTTAATATACTATGCACAAAAGGAAGGCAAAAGCTGTTTTCAGATGTATACGGTATGTATTACAGAAATAATCAACAGATCATAATGAATTGTGCAGATTTGGCACCCACCGAACGTTGTGCCGCATTCGTGACCAACTCGTGTTATTCCGGGACAAGCCGAATATTCTTGGAGGTTACGGAAGGGGCGAGTGGTGACGAATGACCTCCAAGAAGACTCGAGTCGCTATTTGGCTTGCCCCGGAATAACACGAGTTGGTCACGAATGATTGTTGCCATAGACGAGTACCATGTATGTTCTACTGGTATGGAAAACATCGACCCACGTCATTATGCTCTCTCAACTAAACCTGTCCCCTTCCTGTGGCAGTTTCGAGCATAACGTTCACCACGATGTCTGATAGCGGCCCCATAGTCTTGTAATGGTGCTTGACGATAGGTGGAAAAACCTGGCAATGTAGAAAGCAGACATGCTTGTATCGTTGAACTTCTGTCAATCATCACATGTTTTCACTTTTCACTTGCTGTATATTTGTGATGGCATACAAATGAAAACCTATTACATATAGCCCAACAATTCCTGTTGCACGTTCATTACAAGTTGGTGTGTTTGGCCGCCATCCCCTCACGTGGTTGCGTTTTTTGTATTTCCCCAACTTTTTCGATTTTTTTATTGTACAATCTGTCCCGATGAATGCATGATAGATTTATATTTGGAAATATTTGCGTTTTTTTCCAGTGTTCTGTTTGTTTTCGCAGAGCATAAATAAAGCGTTGAGAAGGTACGAAAAACCTGTCAACGATGGACAGTAACACAAAGATTTATAATTAAAGACATTACGTGACTATTGTTATGTGTTATTCATTATGTATCAATGCCCCAAGTGTACCTGTTGATATTCAGTAGGGGGGCAGTAGTGTGCTCTAGTTTGAGCATAGGCGGATCCAGAGGGTGGTGGTGGTTGTGCTCTCGTGAAAACTGGTAAAAACGAATTGTGCACACCCTTTCTGCCCTCCTTTTTTAAAAAGCTTTATCCGCTCTTGTTTGAGACGTGTGCTACATTTAGACAGAATTCTGGAATGTAGTACAACCCTATAGGCCTTCTCATTGTGTTCTGATGCAGAGAACCCGTGGACATCTGGGTTAGAATTGATCTTCAGCAACCCATGCTTGTCGTAAGAGGCGACTAATGGGGTTGGGTGGTCAGGCTCGCTGACTTGGTTGACACATGTCATCGTATTCCAGTTGCGTAGTATGATGCTCATGCTGTTGATCACTGGATTATCTGGTCCAGACTCGATTATTTACAGACCGCCGCAATATAGCTGGAATATTGCTGAGTGCGGCGTAAACCAACAATCAGTCAATCAGTCAGCCTCAGTCAGACGCAGAGAACATTAAGAAAGGTCTATTTTGTACAATCACTATAACATATTGGTATTGATTTGCAAACCAAGTTAATTTTAGAATAGATTGTTAACTATATCACATTGCTTTGTTGGTTTCACACCGAGTTTTATTACGGACTGTTTCCAGGTTTACCAGTGCATTAGTTCCAACTTGGCAATCAACGCTTAACTACGGAAGCCTTTTAGGGCCATGCCTTTTTCGTTGTTTTTTTCTTGAAGTTTCAAGATACTAAGCTGAAATTTCGGCGTCTAAGGCGCCGCGCTAGAAAGCGAAGGTGCCTAGATCGATCCCCACTTGTGACGGGGTGTGCAAACCTTGGAGCTAACATTACGTGCAGGCTCTTTCAGTGTGGTCACAACCCCTAGTGTGTAGTACACAGCCCTGTGCACTTAAAAGAACCCACTCTTCCGACGGTAGGTGACCAGATGGTGGACACACGAACACGCGCAGGCACTTAGTTGCGGGTATAGTAACGTGCAGTATCATTGGACAAACTACTGTTACTATGTGTCCCAGTTCACCCAGCTGCAAATGGGTACCTTGTGAGGATGAGGCTGTGTGATAACTCGTTGCACCTAACAGGCTGCACGAGTTGAATACTCCCCAGGGAGTTGAGTTGGTTAAAAGAATGCCAGAAAAAACAACAACATCCGTCGATCAAGGAAACACTCCAGCACCTTGAGCATCTGCAAGTTGCGTGGATGTGTGCACTATATATATCCTATAATAATATAATGCAATCAATAATGCTTAATATGTATTTAGAAATTTCAACTTAGCATCTTTCAAGAAAACAAAATAATTCCTTTCAGGATACTTCCATTAATGAACGTGATCATGTGGCGGGAGTTTCTTTACCCACTGAAGGAGAGGAAGAGGAAAATAAAGAAGGCTGCTGGTGGATTTGTGGATGGCACAATTCAAGGACCAAAATCCCTGTCACGAACATTCGCCACAAGACTTGGTGATATGTATTATTTGAAACCAAAGGCACGGGTGTCAGAGGGAGTAAGACAATCAAAGAAGAGAAAAAGAAAGAAAGCCCTGCATCAGTGACATAAGAGGATGGATGACTAAAAACTTTTGAAATTAGATGATGACAAAATGGAATACATGGTTATTGGAGCCAAGGCACAAATACAGAAAGTTCCCACTACTGAGAGTAGGAGCAGGTACTGTTCATCCAGTCAATCAAGTCAAGAACCTTGGTGTTATGTTCTCCAACAATATATAAACAGAGCTACAAGCACTTCCGTCTGTTAGAATAGCAACCTTTCATCTTCACGGAATATATCAGCCACATTGAAATATCTATGCGCATAATTACTCGGCATTTTGTATTCAAAATGATTTTAACTATGGTATTTATTGAGTTTCAACACAAATGTATGTTTTAATATTTTCAATTGTGACCGTAATTTGTTCATACTCTTGGATTGTCACAAAAGAATGTTTAATTTAATAGGGAAGCCTTTTAGGGCCATGCTTTTATTTTGTTCTTGAAATGTCAAGATACTAAGTTGAAATTACAAGATAGATATTTAGTTGAAATTTCAAGAAAATGATCTTAAACGTTCAAGAGCAGTTGAAATTTCAAGTTAATATCTTGAATAGAAATGTCCCTGAAGGCTTCCGTAGTTTAGCTCATTTTGCATATATGTGTTTTCACATAATGAGATTATATTTCGATTAACTCAGGGTCTGTCTTTATGGACATGTTATGCTACTGACTGCATATCAGGTGAGCTCCAGTAACTATAGTAACGTTTTTCAGGCAATGCAGACCCTGTAAATAATTATTGTTATTGTGAAAGGAACATTTTTGTTATTGTCTTAGAGGATCCGGTGTTTTATATTAAGCTGGTTGTGATAACAGTACGCCGGTAAGAGCATCCAGGCCTATATATTGGGCTAATTGTGATAACAGTACGCCGGTAAGAGCATCCGGAGTTTTATTTTGTGCTACTTTTGATAACAGGACGTCAGTAAGAGCACCCGGACTGATATATTGGGCTAGTTGTGATAACAGAACCCTATATCAGCACCCGATGTCTGATAGTAATCTAATTATCATAACAGGATCTCGTATTTACCACTAAGTCTTTGTAAGGACCCTGTATCAGCACCCGGTGTCTTATAGTAATCTAATTATCATAACAGGATCACGTATTTACCACTATGTAAGGACCCTGCATCAGCAACTGGTGTCTTTGAGTAATTTTATTATCATAACATTATCACGTATTTACCACTATGTAAGGACCCTGTATCAGCACCCGGTGTCTTATAGTGATCTAATTATCATAACAGGATCACGTATGTACCACTATGTAAGGACCCTGTATCAGCCCCCGGTGTCTTAAAGTGATCTGATTATCATAACAGGATCACATATTTCCCACTTAGTCTATATAAGGACCCTATATCAGCACCCGGTGTCTTATAGTAATTTAATTATCATAACAGGATCATGTATTTACCACTATGTAAGGACCCTGTATCTGCACCCGGTGTCTCATGGTGATCTAATTATCATAACAGGGTCATGTATTTACCACTATGTAAGGACTCTGTATCAGCACCCGGTGTCTTATAGTGATCTAATTATCATAACAGGATCACGTATTTACCACTATGTAAGGACCCTGTACCAGCACCCGGTGTCTTATAGTAATCTAATTATCATAACAGGATCACGTATATACCACTATGTAAGGACCCTGTATCAGCGCCCGGTGTCTTATAGTAATCTAATTATCATAACAGGATCACGTATTTACCACTATGTAAGGACCCTGTATCAGCGCCCGGTGTCTTATAGTAATCTAATTATCATAACAGGATCATGTATTTATCACTTAGTCTATATAAGGACCCTATATCAGCACCCGGTGTCTTATAGTGATCTAATTATAACAGGATCACGTATTTACCACTATGTAAGGACCCTATATCAGCGCCCGGTGTCTTAGAGTAATCTAATTATCATAACAGGATCACGTATTTACCACTTTGTAAGGACCCTGTATCAGCACCCGGTGTCTTATAGTGATCTAATTATCATAACAAGATCACGTATTTACCACTATGTATGGACCCTGTATCGGCACCCGGTGTCTTATAGTGATCTAATTATCATAACAGGATCACGTATTTACCACTATGTAAGGACCCTGTATCAGCACCCGGCGTCTTATAGTAATCTAATTATCATAACAGGGCCATGTATTTACCAATATGTAAGGGCTCTGTATCAGCACCCGGTGTCTTAGAGTGATCTAATTATCATAACAGGATCACGTATTTACCACTATGTAAGGATCCTGTATCAGCACCCGGTGTCTTATAGTGATCTAATTATCATAACAGGATCACGTATTTACCACTTTGTCTATATAAGGACCCTATATCAGCACCCGGTGTCTGATAGTAATCTTATTATCATAACATTATCACGTATTTACCACTATGTAAGGACCCTGTATAAGCACCCGGTGTCTTATAGTAATCTAATTATCATAACAGGATCACGTATTTACCACTTTGTAAGGACCCTGTATCAGCACCCGGTGTCTTATAGTGATCTAATTATCATAACAAGATCACGTATTTACCACTATGTATGGACCCTGTATCAGCACCCGGTGTCTTATAGTAATCTAATTATCATAACAGGGCCATGTATTTACCACTATGTAAGGACCCTGTATCAGCACCCGGTGTCTTATAGTGATCTAATTATCATAACAGGATCATGTATTTACCACTATGTCTTTGTAAGGACCCTGTATCAGCACCCGGTGTCTTATAGTAATCTAATTATCATAACAGGGTCATGTATTTACCACTATGTAAGGACTCTGTATCAGCACCCGGTGTCTTATAGTGATCAAATTATCATAACAGGATCACGTATTTACCACTATGTAAGGACCCTGTATCAGCACCCGGTGTCTTATAGTGATTTAATTATCATAACAGGATCACGTATTTACCACTTAATCTATATAAGGACCCTATATCAGCACCCGGTGTCTTATAGTAATCTAATTATCATAACAGGATAATGTATTTACCACTATGTAAGGACCCTGTATCAGCACCCTGTGTCTTATAGTGATCTAATTATCATAACAGGATCACGTATTTACCACTATGTAAGGACCCTGTACCAGCACCCGGTGTCTTATAGTAATCTAATTATCATAACAGGATCACGTATTTACCACTATGTAAGGACCCTGTATCAGCACCCGGTGTCTTATAGTGATCTAATTATCATAACAGGGTCATGTATTTACCACTTAGTCTATGTAAGGACCCTGTATCAGCACCCGGTGTCTTATAGTAATCTAATTATCATAACAGGATCACGTATTTACCACTTAGTATATATAAGGACCCTATATCAGCTCCCGGTGTCTTATAGTAATCTAATTAACATAACAGGGCCATGTATTTACCACTATATAAGGACTCTGTATCGGCACCCGGTGTCTTATAGTGATCTAATTATCATAACAGGATCAAGTATTTACCACTATGTAAGGACCCTGTATCAGCACCCGGTGCCTTATAGTAATCTAATTATCATAACAGGATCATGTATTTATCTCTATATAAGGACATTATCCGTAGTTTTATATTGGATATTCAAATGACAACTTATGACCCTTGCCCAACCTTTGGAACATAAAGGTACATGCGGAAAGTCATATTTTCACCTTGTCACAAAACGTGTCGAATCAAACACAATAGTGCATACACCACAGAGAATTGATTTACTCATCTCATGTACTAACTGAACTTCTAACCAACATTAATTATGTTTACATACCGAGTCATTCAAGTTTGTTATATTTTGAAATGTTATAACCATGTTGATACATTTTAATAGTTTGTTTAATTATTTCTCATACACTGTCTTAAACATCACGCACTTGTCACCAGTAGTCAATTCAATTCAATTTCAATTTCAACTTGAATTGAGTTGATCAGTAATATCATGATGTGATATAACTTGTTAGGTACATAATATGTTTTCATCATAATATATAATATAGATATTTTTAATTTCATTTTGTACCCTTTTAAATTGTTTTTGATATATTTATAAACTACAAATTTGTATTCTTTTGCAGTGACGTTGTACATTTACAGAAATAAACATTGATTCCAAACTTGGTGTTAGAAGTGGGATATGTTTTCATGAAGTCATTGTGAGGATTCATATTTTAACCTTATCTCAAAGCATCTCGAATTAAACACATTAGTGTAGACACCTCATAGAATGGATTTACTCATCTCGTGTACTAATGGAACATGTCACCAATATTATGTTTACATACCGAGTCATTCTAGTTTGCTATATTTTGAAATGTCATAATCATGTTGATACATTTTTATAGTTTGCATTCTTATTTCTCATACACTGTCCTAAATATCAGTCCGCCCGGAGAGCGGAAGGTCCCGGGTTCGATCCCCGGTCGCGTCATACCAACAGACGTTAAAATATGGTACTTGTTCGTCCCTGCATGGCGCTCAGCATTAATGGGTACAACAAGGACTGGTCGGCTCGGAGTCAGTGTAATGTGTCTGAGTGGGGTATTCATTCTTAACTGCGGCATGGTATCTCAGTGACCTAGCACTATAAAACCAGCTTAGTCGTCATATGAGCGAAATCTTAAGTACGACGTTAAACCCCATTTCACCTCACCTAAACATGTAGTCTAACGGAATTAATTGATGTATGACTTAATACTTCAGCCCAAAGGGTGTGTCAATACTTTACTGGATGTGTTTCTGTTTGACGAGTGTATTTACATTTCAGTAAAACGGATGTGTTAACAATTGTGATTTAATCATATTTATTTCCAATGAAAGGAACCGGATTGGGAAACAAGCATAATCTTATATGAATACCGCCCCGGGATACAGTGGAAGGAAGAGTAAACATGTCATGATGAATGTACAATGTAAATGATATATAAATGTTGCAAAAACGAGAAATAATGCCAATCTTTCACAGAATATGTCATGTAAACAAATTATATTGATCAAATCTGCCTGTTACATTTTTAAACGAGTGCACTGAAAGGAAAAGTTCTTTGTTTACTAAAGCGGAACAGTTTTCGTTTACAAACAAAATTGATTTTAGTTCAAATCCTTTAGTATAAAAATACATAATTTGACGTATATCGTTGTAAAGAGTACATGAGAAGAAGTAATGAGCAGAGTCTTCATAGTTGTGGCCACAAGAGCAAGATGATGTCGGAGATATAAATCTTTCATATTTGTGCGCATTAAGGTCACTACATTAAAAGCCGGAGATTGTGTTAACAATTCAATCCGTCAACTGTGCCGATACTTTAGTTTACTGAGAGGAATGGAATGGAAGGGCTGTGTGGTAGCCTAGTGGTAAAAACGTTCGCTCGTCACGCCGAAGACCTGGGTTCGATTCTCCTCATGGGTACAATGTTAGAAGCCCATTTGTGGTGTCCCCGCCGTGATATTGCTAGAATATCGATAAAAGCGGCGTAAAATCCTATTCACTCGCTGTAGAGGATGCCTGTAATGGTATCGACAGAACGAGTGTGTTAATGTCCCATCGTCAGGATGAATATCTGACGTGCAATAAGATCATAAATTAAGATATCAGGCTGTAAATGCTTTGATTACACAATGCCATTATTTTCAAATGTAACATATGTTATATTTAAGAAATACAGTTCGCTCTACCACCATGATTGTACGGTGTAATAAAGCACTCTTTCGCCCTGAACTAGTATAGTTAAAGTACGAGGACGCTTGCGTCCGAGTGCTTTAACGTTATAATATGTCAGGGCGAAAGTGTGCTGTATTACACTATACATGGTGGTAGAGCGAACTGCATTCTTTTCTAAGATGCCAAATACATATACATACTTTCTAAGGATAATTACGATTAATTTACGACGGTGTCGGTGACCTATGGATGTGTCTCTCTCTCCCCCAAACAAAAACAAAACAACAACAACAACCAAAAACGAACGTTACCAGAAAAAAACAATTGAGAAAAGTTTGATGACGGTTTACGTTAGGATTAAATCTCTTCTCTGAATTATTTTAATTACATCTGTCATTAACGTAAACCATATGGGGCAATATGAACGTCGCATTTCTACTACCAACGCAAGTTTAGAACAGTACATCCAGACGAAGCTATGAGTAGTCAAGCGACATTCCACGATTGCATTGTGGGAATGTAAACATTGCGAACGTTATCGTGTCGCTGAAAACATGTCAGTCGAATTGAGACATTTTAACTGTCGTAAAACATAAACGTAATGTTTCCTCCAGTGATGTTAGCTGCGTGAAGCAACTGTAAACCATTAAACGGGATGCAACGGAGTAGTTTACTGTAGGAGGCCGTACGAGGCGATGACAACTGACATGCATCGTGACGTCGCTTACATGGTGACGTAATGTAAAATGGTTCGATTACGAGGGGGCACACTAGAATGGCGCAGTGACGGGAAAACGTCATTCAATTGTTACGTCATCACAAAACTATACCTTTATTGTCTGATAATGTTTGTTTTTTTCGATTGTTCTAACCGCTAGGCATCTTAGAATTGGGATTACACTTTCTTAGTGAAGTACAAATTCTAGGATTTTTGGGTTGAGTCCTATCCGGGATTCGAACCCACACCCTCAGAGTCAGGCACCTAATCGCCAGCACTCAATGTTAGCCGCCTAACCCGCTCAGCCACCGCGACTTCAACGAAGTCGGATAACTGGTCTTGACTGCGGACTTTGTGTACCCTTCTGATAAGTGTAGATTGGCAAGGCTCCCACAGCCGAAAGCTATGATTACACAATGCCATTTAAAAAGTTGTAAATGCTTTTAGGGAAAAAACTGCTCTCGATGTTGTATTCTGTGTTATAGGTGAGTGCGATGTATCCAACGACGTCAGACGTTGATCATAATTCACTCATCTTGCCACGACTTGAACATTTGAAGACGGCAGTTATGTGTGTAGAATATTGCCAACTGTAGTGTGAGGCAACAAATTTACAAAACAACTTCGGGTTGCTAAGGTTCAACTTTAATATATGGTGCAGCTATCAGCATCTTTAGCCTTTAAATTCATTCAAGGGCGGTAACTCTTGGAGTCGTATCCCGTTCATTTTAAAACTTGACCATACTTGAAGCAATATCATCTTTGTGCTCGGCCTATAACACAGGGTTTTAGAATATATGTGTTATCTTGTTTATTTTATTCCATTTCTTAGTCATATGAAAAAATCAACTGTACGAAATCACAAACTTGATCCACGTGAGACATTGTTTTGGGGGTGGGTTGGAGGTGTATTTCCCGTTGTAAGTTTTGAAATGAAATTACTTCTTCGACTTGTGAACGTGTTTGTCCAGATTAACACTTGACGTGCCTTTTCATGTTTTGTGACGCTTGTCACTGGGGATATAGCGTCTGTGCGTGCGCGCGTGTGTGCGTGTGCGTGCGTATCTACTTGTACTAGTCTTGACTCAGAGATACCATACTGCAATTCAACAAAGGCGCCCCATCCAACACACAGATTATTGACTCTAATATTCTGATATGACCATTTCCTCTTTCGATTTCTTTGCTCGTTGTGTAACACCCCACTCAGCAATATTCCTCCTGTATGACGGCAGTCTGTAAATAAACGACATTTTTTCTCTTCTTCATGCTCATGTCTGAAATTATAGTGACGATTTGGTGTGGACAAATGGCTAACTTTCATGCCATATAAGACGATCTGTTGGCATGTATGTTTATTTGCCATTTAACTGGTACGATTTTGCAGCAAACGCACCGTTCGTGATCAACTCGTGGGCTTCTTGGAGGTTACGGAAATAGGCGAGTGGTGATGAATGCAAACGGACTTTATTCGGCAAATAGCCGTGTACAGTCCATTTGATTTCATTTGAGACCGATGATTTGCTCGAATACAAAAGTTTTTTAACAAGCGATCATTATTTTGTTGGCACTTTTTCGCTATTTTTTACGAGGGGGTACCACTTGCTGGTAGAACAGCCAGGTGTGCGAGTTGAGCGTTTGAAATTGAAATTTCACTGCACACGCGTGTTGATTACCTGGGTGATCTACCAGCAAGTTGTACCCCCTCGTAAAAATAGTGTCAAGTGACAACAAAATAATGATTGTTTGTTAAACAAATGTTTTATTCGTGTGTCCAAAATTATCAGACAAATCATCAGAGTTGGTCTGTGGATTTCATGTGACTGTGCAAAATTTGGTTTCGTTGCAATTATTGGAGTTTGTGTCAGTGAGCAATTCACCGGTCTCAAATGAAACTGTCAAACGGACTTTAAGTGATAGTGTCAGGGGAGTTAATACCTGCGCATGGCAAGACAGAATGCATTTTATCGCCCTTCTTATTTCCAACAAGACAGTTAAATAGGACCATACAGCTTAGTACAATATCTGTCTCAGCAAAAGTCGAAAACAAACACCGATATGTCGAAGTTAAAGGAACATACTTTAATACTTCGTGTTATCCGATGTTCGACACAACAAAAAATGACGAATAAAGAAGACACCCGTACTTTCGACATATTAAAGTTCAGATCAGCTTGATCCCGAGCGGGACATCCAATGACACAAAACATGTTTACAAACAAAGTACCGAAGAATAATGAGCAATAAACCAAACTTTATTATCCTGATTTGGCAACCATTTGCTACATTTCGATTTAACCAAGTGTAATCTCTACTTCGTAGCAGGCAATAGAGGCCGAGCCCATTTTGAGGTCAATCTGTCCTGAGTAGTCTCCGGTTGGAAGGCTCGATAAGTTGATCTCAAACTGGGTACTGGGGAGTGTGTAGTTTCCCTGAAATGGAGGTGTCCAGTTGAATGCAGACATACTGATAGCCAACGTCAAGCCTAACACATGTTATATTTGGGATTACACTTTCTCAATAAAGTACAGATTCTGGTACTGTTATTGGGTCGAGTCCCATCCCGATTTCGAACCCATACCCTCAGAGTCAGGCACCTAATCGCCAGCACACAAAGTCAGCCATCTAACCCACTCAGCCACCGCCGCTTCCACAAAAAAGGAAGTCGGACAAGTGGTAGTCAAGACCACAGTCTACCCTGATAAGGGTAAATCGGCGCCGTTCCCACGGCCGAAAGCTGTTAATACAGCATGTCACAACAATATTGCCATCAATAAATGGCATTGTGTATTCTACTTCAAGCCTTTATTTTGCAAGAAGATTAAATACCTTTGTGGATGATATTTACACAGAACAACACACAAAATATCATCGCCTCATAGTAAACCTTCAGTAACGAAGTGTTCCTAAGCATAACTTTCCAAAATTTCCAGATAATAGTTATTGCTGGAGACTGATGGTACAATTTGATGGTGGTTAAATTTCTCATCACCGTATTAGTTCATTAGGACAAATTATATTCCTTTTTATGTTTCATAGACCACAACAGAAATGAAGAGATAGGAGATTAAATCTTTCACTTCATTAAACGTTGAAGAAGTCTGTCCTTGATATCAGTCGGTGCTGTGTCAAATGCTTGGAATTAAACAGATGCACGATTCCAAGCATGCATCTGGTAACATTTGGACGAAATAAAGGACATGTGGTCTAATAAAGAATAATGTTATTGGTAATCGTTAGAAATAAAACAGCAATATGCCTAGACATTTTGATTGATGCCTTGGATAAATCTTTGAACAGGAACAGGAACGTTGGCATTGAACAGGAACAATTGTTTAAGGAGAGACACTTTCACTTTCGCAAGAGATGCGACGTTTCGGTGTAGATGCTATCACCGTTATCAAGGAAGTGATGGACAAGGAGAAAATATAAGGGCTAATGAAGACCAATCAAGATTAAGTGGCCACTGCACTTTGTCCCACTAGATATGGCTTCATAACCATGATCTATTATTGCAACTATTAGCAGTGTCATCACTCTATACATCAGCCAAGTCAACTGTATAACTTCTAATATTCCTCTTGTATATATTGTCGGAAAGCGCACGTCAAATCATCATCATCATCATCATCATCATCATCATCATCATTATCAATTATCACTCACTCATCATCATCATCACCGTCAGTCAATCATCATCACTTCATCATCATCGTCAATCAGTCTTTATCATCATCACATCATCATCGTCGTCGCATCATCGTCGTCAATCATCATCATCAATCATCATCGCATCATCATCGTCAATCATCATGAAGCATCATCAATCAATCATCATCACCATCGTCAATCATCATCATCATCACATTATCATCAATCATCATCCTTAATCACCATGAAGCATCATCAATCAATCATCATCCTCATCATATCATCATCATCGTCACATCATCATCGTCGTCAATCATCATCATCATCAATCATCATCATTGCATCATCATCGTCAATCATCATGAAGCATCATCAATCAATCCTCATCCTCATCGCATCATCATCATCGTCACATCATCATCGTCGTCAATCATCATCATCGTCAATCATCATGAAGCATCATCAATCAATCCTCATCACATCGTCATCATCGTCAATCATCATCATCGCATCATCATCGTCATCAATCATCATCATCACATCATCAATCCATCATCATCATCATCAACAATCATCATCAACCATCATCAATCATCATCATCATCACTTCATCATCGTCAATCATCATCACCACCACCATCACATCATCGTCAATCATCATCATCATCATCATCAATCATCATCATGTTGTGTATCAAATGCTTGATAACAGTGTTAGCATCCATTGCAATTAAGACGTTGGCTCTTCTTATGAAACTGTTCCTCTTCGCCTTTAATAAAGCTATCTTTAAATTAAGAAATCAGAACGGCGATAGTGATATAGTATCCGCCTTTTGTCCTGACAACTGTTAATATCATACAGATGTTTATCCTTTATTCATTTCATATCCACACATAAACTGTCAGGAAAGAAAGTATTTATCCATGTTTGATTCTATCTATCAAACAGAAAAATCGATATTCGATAGTGATATATGTGATAGGGTATTATTGGCAATACTGCATGCATCATATCAGTTCGTATCTCACACCAGTGGAAATGTTAGTGATCATAATTGTTTGCCGCAGATATAGGGAATTCTTTGGACAGGTAGATGATTGTATTTATTGTTTACAACAGGCTTTGTAGTGACCAGCGAGTTTAGCAGCATGCCAAAGTAACTAGTGATCATATTTGTTAGCAGCAGGCTATGGGATTTGTTGGACAGGTGGGTAATTATATTTGTTAACAGCAAGCTCGGTAGTGCAGGCTATTTCCTGCAGCATGACAATGTAACTGGTGGACACGGAAATGATTAGTTGTTTTAGCCAGGTCAAGGGACAAGTGAATCTGTAAGTGGTCATTTGTGTTAGCAGCAGGCACGGGTGAGTAGATAAACCTGTAGGTGTTAGCAGGACACCATTCTACTCCTGTCATATCTTCCTACGTAACCTCTGTTCTAATACGGCCCTTTCATGGTGTGAGCGTTCAAGACTCGTGATTGGAGGCAATCAGATTTAGTTGTGCAATCAGCGACGTTGTTTCAAAAGTGATCATTCGCAAGGCCTCGGTAATTTCCGTATGCTTCGAGAAAACTAAACTTCTTCCCCTGCGCGATGCGCAAACGTTTCTTCTAGACAGAACTCAGTCATGTTATGGCGGATCAGTGGCGTCTCCATCGCCCTCGTTGACAACGGACAAGCTAGCCATTAAACGTCTTGTGTGTAACATCAACACAAGTCCCCGGCAGATGGGGGATATTTGTGGCCCCACATTTGCTTGTGTTAGTCAAGTTGAATCTAAGTCGATGTAACACGTGTTCTGATTGGATAGAAAGAAGGGAGATAATTCGTGTTGCGATCTGTTGCCGCTAGGGGATTTTACAAGAACCGGGAAATATGGCCGTATTAGAACAGAGGTTTGTAGGAAGATATGACAAGTAACCTCTGTAGGAAGTGAATGGCAGGACACGAGTTGGAATGTTTGATGGGCGTTTTATGACATATTCACACAGTAGACTCACCGCTGGAAACGGGCACTTGCAGGGAATGTTGTTCTCCGTGAAGGCTTCTGGACACTGGGCTGGCGCCAGAATCTCACAGATGTCTGAGTAACTGCAGGATCCCACATTTTCAATGCAAGGAATTTCCACCCATATGGACAGAATCTTCTTCTTTATGGTTACGTCAGCCTACATAAGAACAATGTTTGCGTCACTCAATACAGACGGGTGAACATTCTGGGAAGGCTCTATCTAGTTCAACCAGTGAAGATCCGGGTTAGGCCACACTTTTTTTATTACATGGTTTACGGTTTTTTTACAGCAATATTCCTGTCGGTAGGTGGTAAAAACAATAAAATGCTATTTCAGAGTTTTTTCCTTAAGGCTTTCACCACAAGTTGGCTGTAAGAATATGCCATCAGCCATTCAGGTGTTCTCATTTCCTACTATAATAGGGTTTATAAACACCCAGCATTTTCACTCGGTAACCTTAATTCGTCGATTTTATTTGTTTCAATATTTAACATTTCAATAAAGTAGATTTTAAAATTATTTATTTGGATTTTATGTATCGGCGGATGTGGAAAATGGAAAAATTTGATTCTTTTCCCCCACTTTAGCAAAATTTACGGTCGGCGGATCCGTAACCTAAGTAATATAAAATGTGTGGCCTTAGAATTGGTCTTCAGCAACCCATGCTTGTCGTAACAGGCAACTAACGGGGGCGGGTGGTCAGGCTCGCTGACTTGGTTGACACATGTCATCGTATCCCAATTGCTTGGATGAATGGTCATAATGTTGATGACTGGATTGTCTGGTCCAAACTCCATTATTTACAGACCGCCGATATAAAGACCAAATAGTGCTGTGTGCGTCGTTAAACAACAAACTTAACAAACAAATCCGTCCTACTCCAACAGACGCTGCTATATAACTGAAACAGTGATCAGAGAGACGTTAGACGAAACTCATTCATTCACAACAAAACTATGGCGTCATTCGGTCAACACCTCTGACGTCCAAGGACATCCACATATTGTTTCTTACGTTTGAAGGCTTAGTGCATATTACCGAGCGTCTCGATATATACATACACACGCAAACATACGTAAATACTTTCAGTTATCGGTGGATCGACAGAACCTTAAAATGATTACTAAAATACGGAATACGCAGAGATCAAGCTTTTTCTTCGTGACTACGGTGAGTTCGACACATCAAAAGTCGACACAAGGGAAAAACCAGTATCTTGATTGTCAAATGTGTTAATGACATGCTTCAGTAGCAGAGAATTCTGTGACGTAAATTGTTTGTGACGTCACAGTTGTCTCAAGCAGTACATATCCAATGAGCCGATGGGGAATAGACCGATCCAGTCTGTCAATCAAAACTGGCGCATGCGTCAATTTTGGCCAATTAGCAGGCCAGGCGCTGTGTGGATTTGTCAGACTTATTTCCGGGGTCAAACGATGCCTACGAAGCGTTGTGCTTCGAACTATGCCATTTACACTCGCTATATCTATTACATATTGCTGCGATTTGATGTGTACCTTTAACAAAACCATTACGGTCAAGACAAAATAAAATGAGGCGGATCAAGGAGCGCGATAGACCTAACGATCAGTTAAATGTCTGCACCAACGTTCACGAAACCTACGTCTGCCTGCAGATGAGATTTTGCACGAATTTCCACACTTTTGCACATGTGCAAAATCATTACCAATTGATGACAACAAATTGCAGTTTAAGACTTTGCGAGTGTTATAAACATGGACAATTCTTGTAACTACAAAATTGTTTTTGCTTAACGTTTTTAGTCAATACTGGCATTGAGTTGGTACGCCATAAAGCTCAAATGAGACAGGCAAGAAATTCGTGACACAATGTAAACAAATCTGACAGCGATCTGATTTCGGTTAGGGCCGACCGAAATAGCAAAACTGGTTACATGAAAGAACAATGTGGCGGATATTGTCCCCTTCGCTCTCAGATATTCTTAAATTTGTCATACATTTTAGGATGTTTTCAGTTTCAAAAGCCCAATCTGAAGGCCTACAGTATCTTGTTAACAGAGCAAAATATTCGAGGAGTAATGTTTTTTATTCAAACGGAAATATTGTCAGTGTCAGCAATTGCCTATTATGCAATATCCAAGTATCAAAATTAATTCATACGAGTGCCTATAAAACCATGCTTTAAATATTTCAGAATTTTTATAAAGAGATGCATAGGACTTTGAACTGAATTACCTTCCTCCATGTTGATCGATACGAAAACTATGTGAGAAGAATAGAGAATTACTGGAGTATTGGACGGAGTGAAATATAGTGTATATCTTAATTATGAGAACATTATTGTAAGTTTTGTTACAACATAAATTATTCACATATATTGGTACATTTTAGGAGTAATATTACAACTGTCATTTTGATTAATTCACTGGAAATGATAGGAAGGCACGTTTTAAGAATCTTGCTTTTTTAGTAAACGTGGAAGGATGATATAATAAATAATAATCTAATGAATTATAAATAATTATTTAATTGATTGTCCTACCAGATTCATATGATTTGAAGGCAGAACTATGCAAACAAACACTATACATATCATGGCAGGACAATCACTTGGTATTAATTTAGTTTCTGCTTTTAGATGTTTTTAAAAAATAATATATTTACTAATAAGATAATTCTGAAAGTCATTGCTGGTATCATAACTCATTAAAGTTATTTCAACATCCAGAGAATTTGAAAAAGCAAAGGCTACGTTTTGGTCAAACCCTGGTCAGGCATTATCCAGTCCTGGAACAGATTAACTTACAGAAACCTCAGCTGACTTTTCATGTAACGGAATAAATATTGAAACATATATTTAACCCAGATTTGATGTAATTCTTATAATAATCAGTTTTTTTAGGAGGTTACTAATATTTGAAGGCTGATCCAAAGCTAGTGTTTATTAAGATGTTGGTTTTGGACAAATTGTTCAAGGTTTGTTGATGGTTATTTGGAAAATGAGCTTCATATTAAACTGCACACTGGTTTGTAGGAGGTGAAGGCTTCAAGACATTTTCATGTGTGTTTTCCTAAACCTTTGTTTGACTTTTACCAAATTTTGAATCAACTTTACTATAATTTTTATGACACTAGTAAGTATCTCAGAAAAGGAAATAGATCAAAATCAGTGTTATGTCCTCTAGGGATATGGTCTCTAATAAAACAAAGATTATCATTAAAGTCAGTTAATGTAATTGTATTGACAAAAAGCTTTGAACATAGGATATATTCTTTGCACCTTATTTACACCAGTAGTGAGCAGTTAAACTTCGCTGATGAAAAACAATACATTTGTATTATGTGTAACATTCTATTTCAATGCTAGTTAATTGTTCGGATAACTATGGATCCTCTGTTCCAAGATTTTGCATCACAGGTTTCCTATTTCTGGAAGATGGGTGTACAGGTGTCCAGGTGTCCAGGTGCAGACTGTATGTTGGATTTTCTTTGTGTTCTGGTGCTGTGACATACCTGTACATAAACGCTGGCAGTTCATGAAGTCCAGTATTGTGGAAGTTTGTATGTAAATTAGGATTCCACAACAAAGTACATATGGAAAAATAAATTGGAAAGGATGAATAAAAAATGGATTTCCTTATATTCAGTGTCACTTTAGGATGGTGTACAGGTTTTGAAGAGGGAAACTTTACTGAGAACTGCTGCATATCAGCTGTTGAATATTTGCTTCTGGGTATGTCCAGATACGTCCATGGAAACACACTGTTTACCCAAATACCTTTTCCAGATTTCCAAATAAGATCAAATAGGTTCTGCTGTGATTGATTTGTTTACATTAATTATATACAGACAAATAAGGTGCACGAAGTAGTAGACGGGAAATATATTCTGCTTTTTATTTACCATTCTTTTAATTCATTAAATGAAAGAAACACATGTTGTCAGATTATTGATTTAACTAAATTTGAACAACTCAAACAGTGTTGACAATCTATTTATAGATACCGAAACGTTCTGCAACATGAACATGTGGTTGTGTTCACGGTTTTATAAAATTATGATGGGAATTGTTGCAAAAACCCCAAACAACAAAATTCAATTACCCTTCCCCTGCTAATATCTTAGACAGAGGTGAATTGCCAAAACATTAATTGATTCGAAAGAAAATACGCTTAAGTCCTACTCTCAGCAGCTGGACGATTTTTCATCGGGCATGTAACTCATTTTCACTCATTTGCAATCTGCCAGCTAAAATATGATAAAAATCACATACGTATAACTTGCCTCTTTAAATATCATTCACAAACGACGGACACCAAAGTACCACAAACAGAATTCATCAACAACATTCGCAATCACGTACGTTTCGCCGGCGGTGACGCCATTGTGATTAGTCAGTGGTTGTCCCCCCCTAACGTCAAAAACGAATTCGAAGTGGGCGGTGCTTATCGGCCGGGCCTGGATCGGTCTATTCGTGGGTGCTGTAGACAATCATAATCACTCGCCCCTTCCCGTATAACCTCCAAGAATATTCGTGACCAACTCGTGTTATTCCGGGACAAGCCGAATAGCGACTCGTGTCTTCTTGGACGTGAGGTGAGGTGAAATTGGGTTTAACGTCGTGCTTGAGAATATTTCGCTCATATGACGACGTGCATGCGTGTGTATGTGTATGTGCGGCTGCTTGTACTAGCCCAGACTGAAGCTGGTTTTATAGTGCTATCCCACTGAGATACCATGCCGCAGTGAAGCATGAATACCCCACTCAGACACATTATACTGACTCCGAGCCGACCAGTCCTTGTTGTACCCATTTATGCCGAGCGCTAGGCAGGGACCAACAAGTACCATATTTTAACGTCTTTTGGAATGAAGCGGTCGGGGATCGAACCCGCGACCTTCCGCTCTCTGGGCGGACGCTCTAACCACTACACCACGGAGGCGGTCGTGTCTTCTTGGAGGTTATGGAAAGGGGGCGAGTGGTGACGAATGCTCCAAGAAGACTCGAGTCGCTATTCGGCTTGTCGCGGTATAACACGAATTGGTGACGACTGTGCGGTAACGTGTTCCTCTTTCACCTACGGGATAGGACGCTAATTTGGCCCCTAGAGAATAATTACAAGCCCCCGCAGCTGGCATATTGCTGAGTGCGGGCACACACACACACATACACGTACGCACGCACGTATACACGCACACACACAGTGGCATACCTGAATGGGTGACTGAGCTGTGTCCAGGTTCTGCAGGTTGAAGGCCACTTGCACAGTACCCGGAAGTACAATTGGGTCAGGAGTAATTTGTAGAGCAAGAAGTTTGAATGTTTCCGTTGTGGGGTCACCGCAGTCTTTATAAGAGAAAGCTGTCAGCCGTGAACTGCGACCACCGCCCTAAAACCACAATATGCAGAGTGAAATAATGGTGAAGCTTTTATACGCAGATGATACTCGAATTTCAGTCATTCTGGTTTAGTGCATGGGGTTATACATATTACATTTATAACAGTATATGCTACAAGAACCATGTTTTATAGGAAGGACCAGTGATTGCTTCAAATGGAACAATGAGTGAGTGAGTATGGTTTTACACTGTATTTAGCAATATTCCAGCAATAATCCAGCCATATCACGGCGTAAGACACCGGAAAATGGACTTCACACATTGTACCCATGTGGGGAATAGAACCCGGGTCTTCGGCGTGACGAGCAAACGCTTTCACCACAAGACCACCCCACTGTTCCGGATTTATGGACCTATGGACTTGTCAGTTACCTACTTTACGTCTTGTTATCAACATTAAAAAACGCACGACTCCATACTCTTCACACACCTACGTGGGAAATAGATTTCAAGACGACCAAACGGTTTACATGAGTGAGTATGGGTTTTTCGCCCTGTTAGCACTACCCAAGCTATATCACGGCGGGGCACACCAGAAATGGGCTTTACACATTGTACCCATGTAGAGAATGGAACGTGATGAGCGAACACTTCAACCGTTGGACTACTGCACTACCCTCAAACGCTTTAAGCATTATGCTACTTCATCATCTCATTAATCACCGGGAAATGAGACATTTATGAATAATTCAGATTTGATAAATTGGTCAACTAAAAGGATGTCAGTCAACATTTGACAATGCCGCGAGGTGAGATTAACGATAGTACTACAAGTACTACTTACAAATGATGTGATTTGATATGCAGTCTGGAATGGTTAGTGGTTCAACATATACAAGTACTCCTGAAGAACAATGTGCAGGTTTCATCATTTTATCACCATCGGATGTGTCGTTACAATAATAATTGCAACCCCAGGTCTTGTAATATAAGCAAAACATTTGACATGCCTTCGCGTGTGTTTTTGACGTGCGGCACCTGTGGGACTGGAATACTGCAACTCACTCACTCACTCACTCACTCACGCACTCACTCAACAGCTTGGTATCATCACTATTTTATAGTGGTGGTACACTGTGCTTGCTTTTAGTATAGATCATTGTAAAATTGTTTTGCATTTATAAATTCATATTTAATAAATAACAATACGTTTCACACATTACACAACTCACATATTTCTGGAAATACGACTGTGGTAGGTATCTCTCTGGTGTCCGATTACGCATCAGGACGTCCATGATGTCGTACGCATCTTTGGTATTTTCATCATAAGACTGGAACTTCGTCACATGGTAACCAAACACCCCCGACAGGGCACAGAGCAGTGAAATGATTGTAAAAGTCTTCATGTTTCTTAACAATCACCTTAACTACCTGGCTAAATAACCTATCTCTGATGCACCCTGATCGTGAGCTCTCGTATGTAGACAATGTGCAGTTAGGGTTAATAGTGTTAGCGTGTAACGTGATAAGTTGACCTTCACTCAAGGGTCAAGGTCATCAGTAATACTTTGTCACGAGCTACCGCTGGTGTTATGATACTGTACACACGTGTCCCTCTGTTAACTAAACTATGTTGATCTGAAGTGGTAACCAGGCTATTGTCGATTCTGCCATTTTTTAGTATATTTGTAAATTTGTACTTAATTATACTCTGCAGTAACACATCAATGGTGATTTTTACTTAAATGGTTGTGATAAGATAATTATTTTGCAGCTATTGCATTCCATTGCATGTCTGTATTACACTTCGCGAAGTTTAAAAATTCGTGTGGCTATAATGCTTAAACCTGTGAAGATCCGGGGTAGAATTGATCTTCAGTAACCCATGCTTGTCGTAAGAGGCGACTAACGGAGTTGGGTGGTCAGGCTCGCTGACTTGGTTGACACATATCATCGATTCCCAATTGCGCAGATCGATGCTCATGCTGTTGATCACTGGATTGTCTGGTCCAGACTCGATAATTTACAGACCGCCGCCATATAGCTGGAATATTGCTGCGTGCGCCGTAAAACTAAACTCACTCACTCACCCACAACAATGCGTAATGCTAATACTGGTACAAGGAACTTATGGACGTTTAAGATGTCAATCATGTACAACTGGATGTATTTTTTGTTATCAAACATCAAACGTTAACATGTCAACCAGTTCCCTTACATCACGTTTTAAATTATATTGATCTTTTAACTGAAAACGTTATCCTATTCTTTAATTCATCAGAAAAAATGAAAATGTGAAAACATTATATTCCCCCTTGGGTATAATTGTAAGGCCATTCCTGATCGTCTCCAGCCGTGATATTGCATGAAGTAGGTTTAAAACCTTACCCATTCAACTCTTCAAATTAAATTGCGACAGAAGCAATGGGAGAAAGAATTGAAGTTGTGTCAAAGTCCGTACTAATTTACAAATTACTAAAGTTGAATAACACATGTATTACATGATGGTCTGTGGCGTCAGTATTCCTCATACCAGATGTAGGTTTCGCCAACAGTACTCCTTGTGGGGGTGCCCACGTTAGTGTTCAGCTGACGTCAATCCACGCGGGCTCCTACATGTTGCGGCTTTCATGACATCTATCCACTGGGAGCTGCAAGTCGCGTGACCTGGATCATATTTTCTGGTTACTGCGGTACAGTCAGTCCAACTGTGGATGGATTTTACGATCTGCTTGTTCGATCTTTAAATGTAAACTGACGTCGAAAAGAAAGTACACAACTGTCTGTTTGGATTATTTTCCATAAACAAACGTAAATATACTACCCATCAAAAGTTTAGGCTCACTTAAAGCGCTCACTATATATGGTTACATCGAAGATGATTTTCTCCTCTAACTTGGGGTAACCAACTCCAAACCTTTTGCAGATGAAATGCACGAGGATCATGCATATCATTGCTGAAAAGCACGTGCAAGTATTGTGCACATGAACATCTGCGTTTGGTGTAAAGTTTTGTTAAGAATTCGCCAATTTTCACTGAGTTTCATCATCGAACTCATGACAATAATCTGTTTAACGTTACGAATTTGTTTTACAATACATCAGTTCATGTGTAAACAGTACCTTTAAACAGTATGGAATATTGTGGGTACAATGTGTGAAGCCCATTTTTGGTGTCCTCCGTCCTGATATTGCTTGAATATTACTAAAAGCGGCGTAAAACTAAACTCACTCTGGTAAACAAACATTCAGTCGGTAACATAAACAATTCACGTCATACACAACTTGTTTCGATAACGTGATGTTTCCCTTTACTGTTCGGTACTGCGACAAATATTTCCCTTTATTGTTACTGTTTACTGCGACAAATATTTCCCTCTTATATGAGCAGTCATGTGATGCAATGTCAAGCCAGCGTCATAACCTTTGCAACATTATCTGGGTGGTACTAGTTTAATATCCTGTAATCTAATCTTTCACGTCCGGTAAGAGCCGTCTTTATCTCTCGCCTTTGACCCGTGTCAACACATCCTGATCAATTGTGTAAACCTGACCTAAATGTATCGTTGCCTTTATACAGTGTGCTGTTACAAAATGATTTGTTTTACTTTCGCGAAGTGAAGGAAGGAGATCAAGTTAAAGAAGTATCGATCACAAGTTTTTGGCAATTTAAGAACGATGTATATCTTTCACGTTTGCGGGTTGGAATAGGACTTCAGCAACCCTTCTCGTTGTGAGAGGCGACAAACAGGATCAGGTGCTCGTTGCTTGGTTGGCATATGTCGTCGTATCCCAGTTGCGTAGGTCGATGCTCATGGCGTTGATGGCTGGATTGTCGGTCCAGACTCGATTATTTACGGAACGCCGCCGTCTAGCTGGAATATTCATGACTGAAGCCAAAGCAATGGCATTACTTTACGTGAAGTGTGCATCATAGTAAAGATCTGAAGCCAAAGCAATGGCATTACTTTACATGAAGTGTGCATCATAGTAAAGATCTGAAGCCAAAGCAATGGCATTACTTTACATGAAGTGTGCATCATAGTGAAGATCTGAAGCCAAAGCAATGGCATTACTTTACATGAAGTGTGCATCATAGTGAAGATCTGAAGCCAAAACAATAGCATTACTTTACATGAAGTGTGCATCATAGTGAAGATCTGAAGCCAAAGCAATGGCATTACTTTACATGAAAGTGTGTGAAGCCAAAGCAATCATAGTCCAAGAAAGCCAAAACAATTACTTTACACGTTACGACATTAAAACAAAGGAATGACATTACATTACGATTTATTTCTTCATTACGGCAGAGATATAGACACAAAGCAGTGACAGATCAAGGCCAAAGGCATGGAATTACGATACACACCTCATAGCATGATGCACATCACGGCAACACAAAGGATATGTTTCTTGTAGGTATTGGTTACCACACAGCAAACACCAAAACACAAGGGTATGAAATGTAACCCTATAAAACATACGATGAAGACACAGAGAAATTCATCAGATTTCCAGAGTATTATTAATGATAATGATAATAATAATAAGTTCATTTATAATGCGCTAAACTCCATTCACAAAGTGAATGCTCATAGCGCTAACAAATATAATCCGATTGCTATTATCCCGGATAACCCAAGCTGCCTGTTATTTGCTAGAAGGTTGATAGTCACATGACTTATTCCACCTGATTCCCGTTTTCTGCTGGATGAACAGAGGCAATTTTGAACAAACCCACTTGCTTAAGGTGAGACCACATGTATCACATGTGCTTAGTTGTGGGACAGGACTGAACTCCTAGAAACTCTCAGGAGCCAAGCTGCCACACACGGTCACCCATCCAAAGACTCTCCGCGCCCAACGTTGCTTTACTTCAACTGACTTGTGACCTGAGCTCTATGGACAGGGCCACATTATTGTACTCCTGACACCAAGCATATCAACAGGGGAATCTAATCGCTAGTGAGGCGTTAAACAACAAACAAACAAAACGGGCACTGGTTACACGAAACCTCAATATTACTTCCCTGTTTGGGATACCAGGAAGTATTTGGCTGGGTACATACCGCGTGTCACGCGGTCACGCTGAAGTCACGCTGAAGACCCAGAAGCGTGGTTTGCAGAGGGACACACCAGAGGTTTTTAATGCATACAACATGAAGGCTGTTAACATCTTTACTCTGTTGTGTCTTACTTGGGGAGCTGGTGGTTCTGGCGTATTTAAGTTCAAGTCCTACGATGAAAATGCAAAAGATGTCAACGACATCCTGGATATTTTGATGCGGCGTCGGACACCAGAGAGGTACCAACCAGACTCATATTTCCACAAATATGTGAGTAATGTTCATCTTTTGATTACTAGAGGGTAGACCTTCAGTTCCTGTGCCATGAGTATGCGTTTAGTTTGCTTCATCGAGTCTGGACATAGCCATCCAGTGATCACCAGCATGTGTGTCGATTTACGCAATTGTGTTTATTTTTGGGTTTGGTTGTTGTTTAGCGCTGCACTCAGCAAGTTTCCAGCTATAAGGCGGCAGTTTGTAAGTAAGCGAGCCAGGACCAGATAATCCTGTGATCAAAAGCATGAGCATCGATCTACGATGGGATACAATGACATGTGTCAACCAAGTCAGCGAGCCTGACCACCCAATCCCGTTAGTCGCCTCTTTCGACAAGCATGGGTTACTGAAGATCAATTCTAACCCGGATCTTCACAGGTTTCATGTGTTAATGATCCCTTAGGATGATGATAGCTAACGGTAAAGACTGAAGATGAGTATGATCGATGAGATCGAGAGACTGGTTCATTATACGTACGTGGCCCATGGCAATTATTATGAATACTTCGATAACATAAGGAGTAAGTGAGTGAGTAAGGTTTTACGTCCGCATTTAGCAATATTCCAGCAATATGACCACGGGAGACACCAGAAATGGGCTTCACACATTGTACCATGTTGGGAATCGAACCTGGGACTTCGGCATGACGAGCGAAAGCTTTAACCACTAGGCTACCCACCGCCCCTCCATAAAATACGAGACGTACTAGCTTTCCTGTTCAGTGTTACCCTAGCTCAGTGTTCCAGCAGTTCAGCGACTAAAGTTTAGTATCGTTACATAAACTAACATGATGAATACAGTAGCTCAATGATACCCTTAATCTATCATTAGTTTCCAAAATTGATTTAAACTATTACGCAGCATGATTATAAATATATTGTACGGCAATCAAAGCGTTTATATAAATCTAAAACATATAAATTCAACAAGGAAGTCACAGCACTGAAGTAAAATGAACAAGGAACCAGAGATGTACACCATTTAAATCCAGTTTTATTTCCTTGTTTGAGAAACTTCTGTCTTAAAGTATATTCTCACATATATTGAGAGGCACTGGTCACTTGAACCGTCAATATAATTTCGCTACCCTGATACAAGTAATATTACTCATGAAATACAGTCAAGAAAATATACCTAAAAACCACGTCACAGACACTTGTGATAAAACCTGTAAATATTTCCCTGTTGGTGATACCAGGAAGATTTGTTTGGCTTGTTTGAGGCGTTAGGTTATTGCACGTCACAGACGCTTGTGATATAAAACCTGGAAATATTTTCCCTGTTGGTGATACCAGGAAGATTTGTTTGGCTTGTTTGTTGTTAGACGCCGGAGTGTGCTTGGCTGATTACAGAATCAAAGTGCAGTTAAGTTCTGGTTATATATCGAGAATCTTTGTATGATTCACTGAACAGTACATAAAGTATGATTTGTTTGATGGTTTGTTTGTTTGTTGTTTAAACGCTGACCTCAGCAATATTCCAGTTATATGGGCCAGTTTGTAAATAATCGGGTCTGGACCAGACAATCCAGTGACCAACAGCATGAACATCGATCTACGCCATTGGGGTACGGTGACATGTGTCAACCAAGTCATCAGGCTGACCATCCGATTCCGTTAGTCACCTCTTGAAACAAACATGGGTTGTTGAAGACAAATTCAGCAGACCAATTTCAGCAAAAGCCATCGTGTTAAAAAAGACAAAAAATCTTTGTCGGTATTAATTACTAGATGGATATTCATTGAAAAGCATTAAATTCATACACAAAACCACCAAGACTCAGCTGCAACATAATTAAACCTATACTGCTTGTTTAACAACTGATTTTTATTTGGTATAGTGTAGCCTTAAAGCTTCTGGTGGATTTTCGTCTCCATCAAGCTTCCGTATTGTTCTCAATAATGTGAAACAAAATGCCCATGTGCACTCTAACATGAACGTCTCTGCCTTATTCTAGCTATCTGTAGAAATGACCAAAAAGAAAGCTTGTAAGCTTTACATGCTCCTGTTTGATATTCAGTTTGAAACAGTGTATGATTCAAAATATACTGAGACAAACAAAATTAGGAACACAGGAAAATTCAAGTGTTTTTTTTTAATATTTAATGTTTTTATCGCCAGCTTTGAATAGCGCTTGGGGCGGTGGGGTAGCCTGGTGGGTTAAAGTGTTCGCTCGTTACGCCGAAGGCCCGGGTTCGATTCCCCACATGGGTACAATGTGTGAAGCCCATTTCTCTTGTCCCCCGCCGTGATATTGCTGGAATATTGCTAAAAGCGGCGCAAAACCATACTCACTCACTCACTCAATTGAATAGCGCTGTGGGGGAAAATATGAAAACAATAAGGAACCCTGCCATGAAGTGTCTTTCTTGTTGAGTTGACTTCAGTGAAGTGTCGTCCTTGTTGATTTCACTTCAGTGAGGTGTCTTTCTTGTTGATTTCACTTCAGTGACGTGTCGTCCTTGTTGATTTCACTTCAGTGACGTGTCGTCCTTGTTGATTTCACTTCAGTGACGTGTCGTCCTTGTTGATTTCACTTCAGTGACGTGTCGTCCTTGTTGATTTCACTTCAGTGACGTGTCGTCCTTGTTGATTTCACTTCAGTGACGTGTCTTCCTTGTTGATTTCACTTCAGTGACGTGTCGTCCTTGTTGATTTCACTTCAGTGACGTGTCTTCCTTGTTGATTTCACTTCAGTGACGTGTCGTCCTTGTTGATTTCACTTCAGTGACGTGTCGTCCTTGTTGATTTCACTTCAGTGACGTGTCGTCCTTGTTGATTTCACTTCAGTGACGTGTCTTCCTTGTTGATTTCACTTCAGTGACGTGTCGTCCTTGTTGATTTCACTTCAGTGACGTGTCTTCCTTGTTGATTTCACTTCAGTGACGTGTCGTCCTTGTTGATTTCACTTCAGTGACGTGTCTTCCTTGTTGAGTTCACTTCAGTGCTGTGTCTTCCTTGTTGAACTGATGTCTTTGTGATTTTTTTCTATATCGCATTATTTTGTTTTAGTTTCTAAAGATCTTTGTTTGGCGTATAATTTATTTATAGTACATACTTCACTCCATTGTATTTACAGGGCATCAGTCTGAGTTCAAAGCTAACCTCTTTCTCCTACAAAGACTGTGGAGATCCTTCAACAGAAACAGCAAGACTACTGGACCTAGAGATATCTCCCGACCCCATCGAACTTCCGGGGGAAATACAAGTTGCTTTCAAGGTTGTGAACCTGCAAAGAGCCGAGTCACCCATAAAGGTATTATGTCCGCATTCGTGAATGAAAGGAGTATTAGAAATACTCCCATGTCGTTCCATGTGCAAGATAGATACATAAACCCTGTCAAATCACTTCTTCGCCGCTATTCATAATGGCCCCTCTTACTCTCAGATAGAACAAGGTTGCGGCGAAAACGATTTTAATGATATGTTTGCACGTATATAAAATTATACATTAAAAGGTAGGTTAGTGTGTGGCTCCTTGTAGTACTCCACTTTCACTGTGTGAGCCCACTGAGATACCACGATCCAGTTTTACAGTGAGTCACTTCGGCAGTATATTAGCTATTTTTAAGAAATACAGTTCGCTCAACCACCATGTATAGTGTAATAAAGCACACTTTCGCCCTGAACTATTATAACGTTAAAGCACTCGGACGTAAGCGTCATCGTGCTTAAACTATAATAGTTCAGGGTGAAAGTGTGCTATATTACACTATACATGGTGGTAGAGCGAACTGTATTTCTTTTCTAAGATCCAAATTTATTACTTACCGAAGATAAATCTAATGCAGAAAACAAACAGAAAAGCTACTGTGTCGGTGACTTAAATTAAAAATCCTCGTTCAGAGCTTACTGACACGCTGTTCTATTGACGCCTCGTATATCAAAAGAAGTGTGAGTGAGTGACTTTAGATTTACGCTGCTTTTAGCAATATCCCAGCAATATCACGACGGGGGACACCAGAAAACATTGTACCCAAGTGGGGAATCGAACCCGGGTCTTCGGCCTGACGGGCGAAAGCTTCCACCACTAGGCGACCGTATGTTGAAAGAATTGATATGGGTGAAAATAGAATGCCTTACATGTTGTTTTCTCCCCAGACTGACGTAACCCTGTGGAAGAAGGTCCTGGGCATGTGGATAGAAGCACCATGCATGCACAACATGGGTTCATGTAGCTACAGAGACTTCTGTGGGTTGCTGGAACGAATCCCGTGTCCACAAGCTTTCAGAAGAAACAAAATACCCTGCAAGTGTCCCTTCCCAGCTGTAAGTGTTGTTTACATTTTCAACATATTCTTAACAACCCAACAACTGTGTACAGTGAAGTATAAAAGTATATTTCTATAAACTGTTACATTGGAGTCGGGCGGGGAGCATCAACAATAGGTTCACAAATTGCACTAATATCAGCCAGGGTCTTCGGCGTGAGCGAACTCTCTAACCACGAGGCTAGAGACAACACCAACAGGAAACCCATTTCGTGATTATTTAGACAGTTCAATTTGATGTCCTGACCCAGGCAGCTACTCTCAGTGAGTGAGCATGGTTTAACGTCGCTTTAGCAATATTCCAGCAATATCACGGCGGGGGAGACCAGAAATGGGATTCGATACATGCAGATTTACGAAATCGTACAGTATACTACAGACAGACAGACAGACAGACAGGCGCTTAGTTTTTCCCCTCGTTCACTGGATGTCAATCTCAACTCCCTGGGAATCATACAACTCTTGCAGCCACTAGGCGCACCGAGTAAGTGTGGCATTCCCATCCTTACGAGGTACCCATTTACAGCTGGGTGGACTGGGACACATAGTCACAGCACGTTGTCCATGTTTACTGCACGTTGTCGTACCCGCAACTGGGTGTTTGCACGTATTCATGTGGCCACCATCTGGTCATATACCAACGGATTCGAGGGTTCTTTTAAGTGCACAGGGTTGTGTACCGTACACTAGGGGTTGTGACAACACTGAAAGAGTCTGCACACAAAGTTGACTCCAAGGTTTTTACACCCGGTCACAGGTGGGCTCGATCCCGGCACCTCAAGCTCACTGGATCACTAGCCTGGCGCTTTAGCCAGTTCGCCCACCGCGCCCCCGTATACTGATCTCTTCTCATTATGGAATGGGTTTTGTCTCCTTTTCGTTACATATCACATCCAGTTTCGTTTTTATTTCCATTTGTATTTCAGGGAAACTACACACTTCCAACCACTAAGTTTGAAGTCAACCTGTCAACGGTTCCAAGTGGAGACTATTGCATAAGGATCAAGATGGGCTCCTCAACTCAAACTTGCTACGAGATATACCTTTCAGTTGACTGATCCAGGGCCTCATTTCACAAAGCACTAAGGTGATCGTAAGTCACTAAGGTGACCTTAGTGCAATGTTACAGAATGGGAGTTAAGGTTAACCTTAGTAAAGCTTCCTTCGTGAAAGGAGCCCCATTACGATAGATCGATCACCCAACAATTAATTCAAGCTTTGATATCTGATTCCTCGTAATATGTGTTAAAGAAGGCGTGCACGTAGTGACCGTAAGATATAACAATTGTTGCAGCGTCGTATGTATTTTCTCTCGTTAGTTTCAATCTATATTGTCAGTGTGACCGAGCCTCTGTCATGTTATAAGTCTTGTACTACTGATGCAAACACCTACGTCCATTGTATCACATTGAAATTCTTGCATTATTTGAATGTCACTCAATAAAACACGCAGAGTACAAATGTGGTCTGTTTGTTGATATTGTAAGTTATTCCTATGACATTTGTTCATATACCATCACATTATTATCATCGCTTCAAAAATCCAAGAATTCATATTTTTAGCAATTATACTGCGAATAATATTTTTCAATAGAAAACATTAAATGAGTGTCTTTTGCATTGTAAGTATGTTAGGAATAAAATATGTATTGTGTGATTCTACCGCACTGATTTGTACATGCTAGTAAGTAATATGTAGTATTTGAATTTTTTTAGATCCGGGTTACAATTAGTCTTCAACAACCCATACTTGTAAGAGAAGGGTAGTCAGGTTTGCTGATATGCTTGGTGCATGCCACCCTGTCCCAAATGCGCAGATCAATGCTCATGATATTAACCACTGGATTGCCTGATCCAGACTGGAATATTTGTACACGCCTCCGTCAAATAGTTGGAATATTGGTGAGTACGACGTTAAATGTACGAACGAGAGAGCAAACGAGCAAACAGGCCATCAAACAAACAAGCAATCTTTAATATCGTTGTTGGGCTATGACGTTTATCATCTACTCTGTAAACGTTTATCATCTACTCTGTAAACACAAGGAACCATGTTGAGCTATGACGTTTATCATCTACTCTGTAAACACAGGGAACCATGTTGAGCTATGACGTTTATCATCTACTCTGTAAATCATCTACCATGTTGAGCTATGACGTTTATCATCTACTCTGTAAACACAGGGAACCATGGAGCTATGACCATGTAAAACACAAGGAACCATGTTGAGCTATGACGTTTATCATCTACTCTGTAAACACAGGGAACCATGTTGGGCTATGACGTTTATCATCTACTCTGTAAACACAGGGAACCATGTTGAGCTATGACGTTTATCATCTACTCTGTATACACAGGGAACCATGTTGGGCTATGACGTTTATCATCTACTCTGTATACACAGGGAACCATGTTGAACCATGTTGGGCTATGACGTTTATCATCTACTCTGTATACACAGGGAACCATGTTGGGCTATGACGTTTATCATCTACTCTGTATACACAGGGAACCATGTTGAGCTATGACGTTTATCATCTACTCTGTAAACACAGGGAACCATGTTGAGCTATGACGTTTATCATCTACTCTGTAAACACAAGGAACCATGTTGAGCTATGACGTTTATCATCTACTCTGTAAACACAGGGAACCATGTTGAGCTATGACGTTTATCATCTACTCTGTAAACACAAGGAACCATGTTGAGCTATGACGTTTATCATCTACTCTGTAAACACAGGGAACCATGTTGAGCTATGACGTTTATCATCTACTCTGTAAACACACAGGGAACCATGTTGGGCTATGACGTTTATCATCTACTCTGTAAACACAAGGAACCATGTTGAGCTATGACGTTTATCATCTACTCTGTAAACACAGGGAACCATGTTGAGCTATGACGTTTATCATCTACTCTGTAAACACAGGGAACCATGTTGACCATGTTGGGCTATGACGTTTATCATCTACTCTGTAAACACAGGGAACCATGTTGGGCTATGACGTTTATCATCTACTCTGTAAACACAAGGAACCATGTTGAGCTATGACGTTTATCATCTACTCTGTAAACACAGGGAACCATGTTGAGCTATGACGTTTATCATCTACTCTGTAAACACAGGGAACCATGTTGAGCTATGACGTTTATCATCTACTCTGTAAACACAGGGAACCATGTTGAGCTATGACGTTTATCATCTACTCTGTAAACACAGGGAACCATGTTGGGCTATGACGTTTATCATCTACTCTGTAAACACAGGGAACCATGTTGAGCTATGACGTTTATCATCTACTCTGTAAACACAAGGAACCATGTTGGGCTATGACGTTTATCATCTACTCTGTAAACACAGGGAACCATGTTGAGCTATGACGTTTATCATCTACTCTGTAAACACAGGGAACCATGTTGAGCTATGACGTTTATCATCTACTCTGTAAACACAAGGAACCATGTTGGGCTATGACGTTTATCATCTACTCTGTAAACACAGGGAACCATGTTGAGCTATGACGTTTATCATCTACTCTGTAAACACAAGGAACCATGTTGGGCTATGACGTTTATCATCTACTCTGTAAACACAGGGAACCATTCATGCCAACCTTGGCACGACAGCATCATATCGGCAAAGACAACAACAATCTCGAGCTGCGTCTTGCGATTCACTTCATATAGCTACTCCTTTCAGGAAGTTCAGCTGGATGATAGTAATTAGCAAATTTATTGGAAATTACATTAATGCTTTCTCCCGGTACAATTTGTGTTCATGCTTGGGGAAGACGGGTTCATAGCGTCAGTTTTTTAGACCGCCACAAACATGTTTTTTTCTAAGTGATTAACGTGAAAACCCAACCCAAAATGAACGATGTAATTTCATCTCAGTACAACACCAGGAATATTAAAACGCAACGAATGAATAGATCAAATATGTAGACAATCGCATTCCGGTGTTTGGCAGGAAAGGTTGCAAAGTGAGTGAGTGAGTGAGTGAGTTTAGGTTTACGCCGCACTCAGCAAAATATTCCAGATATATGGCGGCGGTCTGTAAATAATCGAGTCTGGACCAGACAATCCAGTGATCAACAGCATGCGCATCGATCTACGCAATTGGGAACCGATGACATGTGTCAACCAAGTCAGCGAGCCTGACCACCCGATCCCGTTAGTCGCCTCTTACGACAATCATGGGTTACTGAAGGCCAATATTCTAACCCGGACCTTCACCGGTGGAGACAAGCATGGGTTACTGAAGGCCAATATTCTAACCCGGACCTTCACGGGTGGAGACAAGCATGGGTTACTGAAGGCCAATATTCTAACCCTGACCTTCACGGGTGGAGACAAGCATGGGTTACTGAAGGCCAATATTCTAACCCGGACCTTCACGGGTGGAGACAAGCATGGGTTACTGAAGGCCAATATTCTATCCCGGACCTTCACGGGGTACGACAAGCATGGGTTACTGAAGGCCAGGATTCTAACCCGGACCTTCACGGGGTACGACAAGCATGGGTTACTGAAGGCCAATATTCTAACCCGGACCTTCACGGGTGGAGACAAGCATGGGTTACTGGAGGCCAATATTCTAACCCGGACCTTCACGGGTAGGCTGCAAAGTGGATGAGGGTTTAGCTTTGGGTTAGCGAAGTTGCGACTCTTGGTGGTGCCAAGATATGATGTATAGCAATTACCAAATTCATATTTTAATGGGTTGTTGATGGCTTCTGACAATTCGTGAGTATGTATTTTGTGTGCCCAGCTTGGTATATAATTAGAGAGAGAGGAAATAGTATTTACATCGATTGGATTTGGCTACTTCTACCTATTGGTGAAATCATTGTTCTGAATTACCTCATGGTGACTCGAGAGTAAGGTTGGCTCAAAATATTTAAAACAAATTGCTTCTCGCAAGATACATCTAGATGGCTCAAATGGCCATGCTTGTTGACTGTGAAGATTGTGTCACATCTTCCCTGACGTCATGAGCTATTTCTCATAATATCAATCACTGGTCACGTAGAATCGATGTGATATTGCTGGAATATTTCGGAATTAACCAAACCAAATCTAGTGCAACTGGTATTCACATATATGTTCTGAAACAATCTGTCTTAACCTATGCTATGAAAAATGGAAAACGTCCCATAAAACAGTATTGGATGCCACAACGTTAAGAAATGACAAGGTGTTTAAACGCTTCAAAACCAATATATCAGCGTGGGTTATATTGTTTCACAATCGGAACTGTCGTTCGTCTTGCTTGTCCTCCAACTTGAATCTGACATGAGGCCCTTGATACCTCCTTCACCCGGGCCGTAAATTAAAATGTCTCAAATCTGGATGTCTGTTACCATGGAGAATAGGTGAAGAATGTGTGGTTTCTTGAGCCAAACAGATGTCAGAAGTTTAAAACAATCCCCTGTCTGTCATTTGGCACCATGATTGGAAAATTTCGATTTAAACAAAAGGAAAATATCACAGAACACAAATGTATCCTTTTGAGTGTGGATATCATAACATTGATAAACAACAAGATGTGTAAACATTTCAAGACTATATCAGCGTGGGTTGTATTGTTTCGCAATCGGAACTATCGGTCATCTTGGTTGTCTTCATACTTGAATCAGACATGAGGCCCTTCGTACCTCCTTCACTCGGGCCGTAAATTAATGTGCCTAAAATCTGATTGCATATTGCCATGGGTAATAGGTTAAGTGAAGGATGTGTGTTTTATTGAGCCAATCAGATGTCAGCTTTCTGAAAGAACCCTGTGTCTGTCATTTGGCTCCTCGATTGGTAAATGTCGATTCAAACAAACGAAAACATCACAGAACAAATGTGCCCTTTTCAGTGTTGGATGCCGCAACGTTGAGAAACGACAAGGTGTTTAAACACTTCGAAACAATATTAGCGCTGGGTTTAATGTTTCGCAATCGGAACTATTGTTCGTCTTAGTTGTCCTCATACTTGAATCAGACATGAGGCCTTTGGTACCTCCTTCACTCGTGCCGTAAATAAAGATGTCTCAAATCTGGTTGTCTGTTACCATGGGGAAACATGAAGCTCTGAAAGCTTTGGTTGATCGTGCCGTAACTAGAGAGGTTTGAAATCCGATTAAGTAAATCAATGGGAAAACTAAAATGTCTACATTTAAAATCGAATCCGTAGCCTGCTGACAAAGGTTTCCCCAAATGCCTACGTGGATCAGGAATCAGTCCCAATCATGCCATGTTAAGCGTCATGCCACATAGGAATGTTAAAACATTGATATCGCTGTGGGAAGCCCAAACCATCAACCCCCTCTGTACAGGGCATACTATTAACTTGTCTTTGTGAAGATCACAAAAAACATTACGTCTAGAATTTACACTATTTGAACAAACAGCTTTGCACATTTTGCGACATTTACCCAAATGATACAGTGAGTTTAAATACGATCGAAGGAAAACGAATTCAAAACGAAAACGAGTTATCAGCGTAATAAGTATAGAGTAAATCCAAGGTACTGAAACTGATCGTTCTTTTGATATAGTACACGTTTTTAAAGTATTTTACTGGATTAGACAACCGTGAGAAGATGCTCTGATGCCAGTGAATTAGAAGACTTATCAACAGTTTCTCTACATTGACCTCCAACTGAACGCATCGGCAAGGAAAAAAACTTGATTCATTAGCAACCGTGTCAACACCATTGGGAATCCAATTGCAAGACTGGAATTAAACCTCAGTGACGTGTGGTTCCTGGGAAACTGTTACTGCATGGGGTCAGACTCCGTGCCCTGAATAATGGTCTGTCGTGCCTCTCCGACGTGGGTGACAATACGTTATTGGAATGGTGCTGAGATCAATAACAATCAAACAGGAAATACACGTTTATCTAGAACATCCGCACACATTAATCAGTATCCTGCTCTTTTCTATCATAGACTCTTTCGGCCTAGGCTCTGTGCCCTGAATATGTCATGGCTCGCCGACGTGGGTCCAGCGTTCGAAATTAACGTCGGCCCGGAGCCGACTGAAAACCATTCGGACCCACAGCTTTTGTTTTCTGTAGGTCCTTATGGTCGACACTTGTTTCATCCCCAATAACCAAGAGTATTATTTCCATATTAAAAAAATAGGGCCTACACATTCTGATCAGGACCCACAACTTTGTCTGGTTCTGGGTCCTTAGGGCCTGCAGCGTTTCAGGGTTAAGGACAAACACTGCCTGGGTCTACTTTAAATAGTGTTGGGATGAATAACAAACAAAAACGAAATGTACGTTTATATAAATACAAATACGCCGGTATAACCCCCCAATTAATGGGGATCATGGCTATTTCATCCCATCAGCTTATAACCACCTAATCCACAAAACCTGCTCTGGCTTTTCATTTACCTGCCTAACTCACATCCCTCACCCCTTGTTTCCCACTAATTAATCCCCCACCTCCTTGGCTTCTGCCTAATTAACTTACAGTCACTAATTGTCATGGTTATCCCACTCATCTCATTTATGTTATTTTAGCTCATCATCATGTTATCGCAGCTCATCATGTAACTTTCTTTGATGCTTTGTTATCCAACCTTTGTTATTGTTATCTCATTATCATATGTACATGTATCCTGTATATAAACTGACAACTAACACATCATTTCACCTGAATAAACAGCCAGAAGCCGACGTAAAACTTGCAAATTCGTTCGTTCGTTCCCCATATGCTTGAAAACGGTATAAGAAGCTATACCGAAAGGTCTCCATTGTTAAAATAAAGAAGTTGATCATCCATAAAGTTGTGTCATCTCTATACCACCGAACTTCTAGACTGACTGACTGAGTTTGGTTTTACGCCACTTTTAGCAATATTCCAGCAACATCACGGCGGGGGACACCAGAAATGGGCTTCACACAATGTACCCATGTAGGGACTCGAACCCGGGTCTTCGGCGTGACGAGCCAACGCTATAACCACTAGGCTACCCCACCGCCCCCCGACTTCTAGAATGCCATTCTAAGGTCCACTTAAGGTCCACACATATTCAGCAGTATCTGGCTCTTGGGAGCGCTGTGAAGATCCAGGATAGAACGTCACATCGGCAGCAAACACATATTGACCCAGTAAGAATTTCTAACGGGCAAACACATGTTGATCTAAGAGTCTAACGGGACTTAGTAGATGCATGCATCCCAACTGGTAAGATCAATACTCATGGTATAACTGGCTGGATTATTTAGTCCATATTTGAATATTTATACACCACTGTCAAAAAACGTGAATATTTCTCAAATAAAAAATTGAATACTGTCAGCAATCAAACAGGAAATACAGGTTTATCTAGAACGTGTGTACATATTGAGCAGTATCTGGCGTCTTTTCCATCATGGACACTATAAATAGGTCAAGACTCGGTGCCCTGAATATTGGTGTGTCATGGCTCGCTGATGTGGGTCTACTGGAATAGTGTTGGGATGAATAACAAACAAAAGGAAATACAGGTTTATCTAGAACTTCCGCACATATTAAACAGCATCCGGCTCTTTTCCGTCATAGACTCTTTAAGTCCTCAGCAATCAATAATATTTCCTGCTCAGTGACAAATGGGGTTAATTGAAGGAGTGAGTGATTGAGTGAGTTTTGCGCCGTTGTAAGCACTATTTAAGCAATTGCACGTCGAGAAACACCAGAAATACATTAATTGTACACATGTGGGGAATCGAACTCGGGTCTTCGGCGTGACGAGTGAACGCTTTAGCCACTGGTGTCCTCCACCGTGATATTGCTGTAAAATTGCTAAAAGCGGCGTAAAACCATACTCACTCACTCACTCAAAAATCACTGTCGATCCCTTTCTGACACATGGAAGGGACAAAAATTCGATTCAATAAACAGGAACAAACTATGGAATCTCTTAGATAAGCATGGTGTCAGTCGCAAAATGGGAAAATTACTGCGGAGCATATATGCAAATGTGAACATTAAACCAGGCTAAAACAAAGATAGCAAATAACAAATAACACAAACAAACAAACAAACAAACAAACAAACCATGGTTCTAATTTGCCAAATAATGATATTATCCTGTATTGTTGAAAGGAGTTTCTGTATCATAGCGTACGTGTAGAAGGATAATGCGAGCGCTGTGACGATCGATGCCAGGATTTGTCTCCAGCAACCACCTGCCAGTCATGAGTGAGTGAGTGAGTATGGTTTTAACGCCGCTTTAGCAATATCCCAGCAATATCACGGCTGGGGACACTAGAAATGGGCTTCACACATTATACCCATATGAGGAATCGAACCCGGGTCTTCGGCGTGACAGGCCAAAGCTTTAACAACTAGTCTACCCCACCGTTCCGTCAGTCGTGAGAAACTAACGGGATCGGCTGGTCAGTCTCACTGGCATGCATGCATCCCAACTGGACAGATCAATACTCATGATATAAATGGATGGATTGTTGGTTCGAGGTTCGATTATTTACACACCACTGTCAAAAAGCGTGAATATTTCTCAATGCAAAAAATGAATACTGTTAGGAAACTATTTGCACTTGTGCCCAATTTGTATACATTTCTTTAAAAGGCTATAATCACAGGGTGATGATAACAGCAACTCAAACATATTATGCAATCATAAACAGCAGCCAGAATCACAAGCGTCCCTTGAGAAAAGCCAGAGAGGCAGGATGTATTGCTCCCATGTGCGACAACTGTAATTGGAATTATGGATTACTGAGCCCTGCTCAATTCATAGAATTGATGCTTTCATTTCCACGCCAGTCTGCAAAGACAGAAAATGGAACAAATTTCATCTTAAAATGGAAATGGTACTGAGGCTGTTTCAGTAAACATTGACAACCAGGTTGTTGTGGTTACATGGATGTTCCACATCTCGGCAATGTACCGCTGATGTTCCTCCAGGTGATTCAGCTGATTGTTCCCTCTTCCTGGTTACCGATCTTACTTTTCGTCACATTGAAATTGTCATGAATATTTTATGGGATTGAAACGCACAAACCCGTGACGATCTTATTCAAGCATTGATTGTTTTTACAGCACGCATGCGTATTTGTGCGTCTAGAATGTCATTGATTTTTCTAAGCTGCAAGTCTGTCAGTCTGTAATGTGATCTCGCTTGCGCGAAGCTGTCGGGATGAAGCCTTCATCTAAGCATGGATACCAGGTTGTCAGCTTGCTTCATAACGATGTCCATTTTAACAAAAGTGAGTATGATCTTCTAGAACGTAAATGACTACGGTATCAAAGTGTAAAGAAATATCTCGTGTATTTAAGTTCAGGCGATGTTTCAATGATCGTTGCGCGATTCACTGAACAGCAGATAAAGTAAGTTTGTTTATTTGTTTATTGTTTAAAGGCAAACTCAACAATATTCTAGCTATATGTCGGCGGTTTGTAAGTAATCAAGTCTGGACCAGACAATCCTGTGATTGATATTATGAGCCTCGATCTACGCAATTGGGACACGGTGACATGTATCATATATCTGCTCTTGATATAGTCACAGTTGTACAATCGACTCTGCTTTTGACAGAGATTTCTTATGAATGTGGAAAGGGTTTTGTCGCTTCTTTCTACCAACCAAGTCAGCGAACTGGACCACGCGATCCCGTTAGTCGCATCTAACGACCAGCATGGGCTGCTGAAGACAAATAACAAACAACCAAACAACCTTTCTTTTCAGTGAACGACACAAACATTATCGAGACATAGCCAGAATTTGCTCTTGTTCCCTTTGGGGAAATAGGTGCGTGGTTCCTTAGGTGACCTGTTTATATTAATTGATTCATTAGATTTGTTGATTTGTTACCATAACCATGACTATTACAGTAAGAGTGAGTGAGTGTGTATGGTTTTACGCCGTTTTTAGCAATATTCCAGCAGCATCACGGCTGGGGCACCAGAAATGGGCTTCACACAATATACCCATGTAAGGAATCGAACCCGATCTTCGGCGTGACAAGCAAACGCTTTAACCACTAGGCTACCCACCACGACAATATGAAATGCACAAATGATAAGGTCAAAACAGTAATACCTAAGACCACTTTATTATGTGAAGTTATGTCATACTTTAGTTGATGGTTTGTCAACGATGCGGATTCAAACAAAATTACATATATGGAATAGTAAGAACAGTTTACTGAAATTGAATATTTGCTTAATGACGGGTTTGCATATTACACGTGATGCTCGTCCTTGATCGTAGCACCTGCATATCTAAAATCAATGTATGGTGCGCCACGTGAGTCAAAATAATCATGCAAACACAATAATGATATTAATATAAATGGACATATAAAACATCAAGGTGCTGGGGTATTTGATCCCAGGAGTATGTATTAAGTATGTGCGTACAATATTGAACAAACTTTATGGATAACAACTTCTTTTATTTAAATAAATATGTTGCTACTCATAAACAGTGTTCAATATTGTACGTCCTAACTTCTAACATGCCTCTCAAATGTTCTGTACCGAAAATCCAACATGGGTTTGTTATGTGAGTGAGTGAGGGAGTGAGTTTGGTTTTACGCCGCTTTTAGCAATATTCCGGCAACATCACGGCGGGGGATACCAGAAATGGGCTTCACACAATGTACCCATGTGGTTAATCGAACCCGGGCCTTCCGCGTGACGAGCCAACGCTTTAACCACTAGGCTACCTCACCGCCCCGGGTCTTTTATGTACAGCTATATATGTGTTAATCAATATTGGTTGCAACTGTTATTGATCCAAATACTTCATCGATGATGAAACTGTCTTTTTAAATCGGAATCTATTAATTACCCATGACGACGTCGCAGCATGGTTTTACATTGCATTATTTGAAACACAATACTTCACATGACCCACCTTATCTATAAAATATTCGTATTTATTGCACAGTTTAAGGGACATTGATGGATTACGATCATGCAGAATCTCAGGCAACTAGGTTTACAGTAGACGGTTCCATTATAACATGCAGTGCAATATGACAAGGTTAAAAGTAGGAATCAAATTAGCATGGGTAAACATGATACTGCATGCTTCTGTAATTACCAGGCAGTACGAAGGCTGTAGTCGTACTTGACGCCAGGGAGGGGGTTATACTCAACTATTGTGTTGATATGAACGACTACCGTGACTTCAAAACAGGACTGTGTTTTGAATGCCACGAGTGAGTGAGTGAGTTTTGACTTTATGCCGCTTTTAGCAATATTCCAGCAATATCACTGCGGAGGACGCCATAAATGGGCTTCACACATTGTACCCATGCGGAGAATCGAACCCGGTCTTTGGCGTGACGAGCGAACGCCTTAACCACTAGGCTATCCCACCGCCCCGTGTTGATATGAACGAGCACAGTGACTTCAAAACAGGAATCAAATACAGTGTTATGAATACCAAGAAACATGCTTACAGGGTGTATATTTTATCGACGACAATGCATAACAATGTTATACAAACAATTTGGGATCTTGATACCGTACCTTGACATGTCAGGGGTGGTGTGGGTGGCCTCGTGGTTAAAGCGTTCGCTCGTCACGTCAAAGGTGTCAGTGAAGAAGTGGAGATTTATAGCCATAAATATTTCAGCCATACTGTTAGTAAATCGCACACACACACACACACACACACACACACACACACACACACACACACACACACACACACACACACACACACACACAGACACACACACACACACACACAGAGACACACACACACACACATTTTAACTAAGGTACGATTATAACACCTGTCGACAATGGTATCACTCTTCAAGACAATACCGTATATAAACGGGCTATAGATCTGAAGGTGCATCACCATACCAGGGACCATGGGGAATTACGATACTTTTGCTATCTGCATGGACCCTGTAGCTTGATTTGCATCATCCCTTCAGTCGCTGGAGTTAGCAATGGTAGCCAAAATAGAAATGACATACAAATTATGTTTATAAAACAGCAGTAGATATGGCCTTGGTTCGATTCCGCACATGTGTGCAACATGTGAAGCCCATTTCTGGTGTCCCCCGTCGTGATGTAGCCCGATTCACTCGCTCACTCCCTCTCAACACATCATGTGAGCCTTATGAGAATATGCGACGTTAAATAATAACTCACTCACTCACTTATGAGAATAGGAATACAAAAATATCCATATGCGAAACGGTCATGATGTTTCAGTGAACACTTGTATCTCTTAAACGCATACGTAGCTTTACATACTATGTCCGAAAACTATCCGAGTCAATCATGAAAGACACAACTCGCTGCAGTGGAATATAGATCCACAAAAATGTTCTGCTGAAGAAACGTTACATGCACGTTGTTTTTCCTATGATTGTAAATCTTCCCTATAGTGTCGGTATCACAAGAGGTCATTTCACTTCCAGGGGTGTATTGATCAATTGCACATAGGTCTCTAGACATGCATATTTCATCTGAGGTAATATCAGGCTGATATTTCTTTCTCGAAATGTGGAAGGTTTTTCATTATCTATGTCTGCTGGTGATGAATCTCAACGTCCTGAAAGTATCCAAAAGCACTGCTATGAATTGTATATATATTCCCAACACAAAAATATCATTTCTTTTAACGTTTTCTCCTTCGACGTACGCTGGTTATTATCCAGCCTCAAATGCTACTATATATTTTGTCTGATGATGTCAGTTTGATGTTTTTGTTGACTGATATTGTCTGTACCAAGATCCGGCTTAGAATTGGTCTTCAGTAACCCATGATTGTCGTAAGAGGCGACTAACGAAATCGGGTTGTCAAGCTCGCTAACTTGGTTGACACATGTTATCGGTTCCCAATTGCGCATATCAATGCTCATGCTGTTGATCACTGGATTGTCTGGTCCAGACTCGAATATTTACAGACCGCCGCCATATAGCTGGACTATTGCTGAGTGCGGCGTTAAACTAAACTCACTCACTCACTGTACCAATGTGACCTGGTGGTCAAGGAATGTCAATTTGACATGCAGCGTGTATCTACAGCAGTGTCAGGACCCATTAGTCCGGTAGCCTAGCCTAGTGGTTCAAGCGTTCGCTCGTCACGTCGAAGACTTGGGTTCGATTCCCCTCATGTGTACAATATGTGAAGTCCATTTCTGGTCTCCCCGACGTGATATTGCTGGAATGTTGCTAAAATTGGCGTAAACCTAAACTCACTCACTCAGGTCATCGAAAACAATTCTCACTGGCCTCAGTGGAGTACCTACAATGTACCCGTGAAGGGCCGGGTTAGAACTGATCTTAAGCAACTCATGGTTGTCGTGAGAGGCGACTAATAGGGCGGTCACTAGTACTCTCGCTGATGTGGTTGACACATGACATCCTATCTCGTTGCGTAGATCGATGCTCATGATGTTGATCACTGGATTGTCTGGTCCAGTCTGGATTATTAACAAAAAAAACCCCCTAAACAAACAAACTGTAGAGTACCTGAACTAGCGCCTTTAAAGTATTAACAACCACGTCAGTTTTCTAGAGTCCAGCGATGTCATGATTTTATAGTTGCTGGAACATGTTACCCCCATCGGATTCTGCAGCGAAAGTTCATACTCACTCAGAACAAACTCATAAAGATCTGGTGACAATAATTTGCTCACAAATCTCTCTAGTCTCTGTGCCCTCATATAACTGGAAGTGAGTGGGTGACTGAGTATGGTTTTAAACTGCTTTAACAATATTCCAGCAATACCACGGTGGTGAACACCAGAAATGGGCTTCACACATTAAATTGTACCCATGCGGAGAATCTAACCTGGGTCGATAGCGTGACACGCGAATGCTTTACCCACCAAGGCTACCCCACTGCCCCTGGATGTATATAAGTGTTTTACCGAAATAATGCGAAATACGTTTTTCCGGCTGCACCATCGTTGTGATGGGGTGTTCTTCTTTCCATTCACAGATACGTCTTTGGGACATCGACATCGCCTTCTTGGGATTATGAAGGTGTTGTCTGTCATCTACATCCTCCTGGGGCTGATCACTACAGCACTGGGAGGAACACTTGTTGCCCTGGCTTTGGACAGACCACGATTTACATTTTCTACGGGGCTGCCTCTTATGACTGGAGTAATGGTTTGTACAAAATTCATTCTGAGATGAAAAAAGTGTTCAACGTTTAAATGATAAATCAGTTAAGTGCGATCACCAGGAGTCTGTCTCACAGTGGTTTTCAGCAACACATGCTTGTCATAAGAAGCGACTAACGGGATCGGGTGGTCGGGCTCGCTGGCTTGGTTGAGACATTTCATCATATCCCCATTGCGTAGATTGATGCTCATGCTGTCGATCACTGCGTTGTCTGGTCGAGACTCCATTATTTACAGACCGCCGCCATATTGTAAACGTAAAACCGGCAAACCAACTATCTCACAATGACGTGTATTTGTTTTGTCAAAAGTGCCACATTTCCCCTGTTGATTACAGCAGTTGGTGAAAGTTGTCTCTCACAATAACCACATCCAGAGTAAGCAGTTGGTGAAAGTTGTCTCCTTCGAAGCGTTTAAGTCAACAAATGCGTAAACAGTAAAAAATAACTTCATCATGAATTGTGCAGACGTACACCAGAATATATCCCAAGAAACCCCACAATGCTGATTTGTACATTTTCATTGGATACATTGATGCCATTTTAAGTCCGCAGAAATATGTTTACAAATGCATAAACAAGTAAAAATAACTTATCACCATGAATGGTGCGGCCATTGTCAATGAATTGTGAGGACGTAGGGTAGAATATAGCCCAAGCAAATCTCACAATGCCGATTCATATTTTTTCATCTGATAACGTTTACCCTTTCACCCTGCCTCTTAAGAAGAGCAGCTCCACACATTTGTCTGTATCATCGACCGTTTCATCTTCACTAACCAGCTGTGAAACATTATTTCACCGCGATATTCCATCTCAGAAATGTTACCCGGACTTCAAACAACAATGGTTGACGAGTGAACCCCTGGGGTGTTGTTGTCAATTTGTCAAATGAAGAAGTTCGATTCACATCCGCCACGGTCGTCACTGGAGTCCATTACTATAATTGTTCATTTCAACTAATGTTAGTTAATGATAGGGTATGACATTGGTAATGTTGGCTAAAAGAAAAGCACCATCAGATGTTTCAGTGACTTTTCAACACATGAATGGCTGCATGAACTGTCTCCCAAAACTATCCCAACCATGACAGACACCACGCCATGGAGTGGAATATAAATTAGATCCACAAAAATGTTCTGCTGAAGCAACGTTACGTGCACGTTGTTTTTCCTGTGATTGTAAATCTTCCCTGAAGTGGTAGTATTCTTATAAAGAGGTCATATCACTTCTTGGGGTGTATTGATCAATTGCACATAGGTTTCTAGACTGATACTGTTATTCAATACAACTATTATCGCCACTTGTATGCACGTTGTTTTTCCTGTGATTGTAAATCTTCCCTGAAGTGGTAGTATTCTTATAAAGAGGTCATATCACTTCTTGGGGTGTATTGATCAATTGCACATAGGTCTCTAGACATGCATATTTCATCTAATGTTAGTTCATGATAGGGTATGAAACTGATAATGTGGATTAAAAGAAAAGCTCCACCAGCAAATATATGAACAAGATGTTTTAGTAGAATTAAATCAATTCACAAATAACATTAAATGTGCCGACGTTTGTGAGAAAATGAGTAGATATATACTAACTGAAGAGTGAGTATTTTGTCGTCTCATTTAATTTTTTATATGATATTTTATATGATATGTTTTTTATTCGATAGTTCAACTAGTTCCAACCAGTATGATAATTTCAATGAAATTATTACTGTTGCGGATGCAGATATATTTCATAAACATATACTTATGATAGTGTCAGAATTCTGCAATGGATCTCTAATTATCAATGTTCTTACCTATCTCTTCCTAATGTCCTCGCTCAGTTCCAAAGTCGGTAAATAGTTCAGTGGTTAGACCACATAAAAAATCTTCTTGTTTCTCGTCACTTTTTCGAAAAATATGCGTCGGGCGGGTGGATTTTATTTTCACATTTTAATGTCCAAAAACCCTTGATTTCTGAGGAAACTTACACATTTTTCTCCGATAGAAAATCAAAACCTAGTCGTGTGAAAATTTCATGCTCATTTTGAGTGTCAAAGTTGCATTTTCTCTAGTGTAAAATCTCAAACAAATCTTAGGGTCGGGTCAAATTTTTGGTCAGGCGGTGATGAGAAACAGGACTATTTTTATATATGGTCTTATCCGGTCGATTCCATACATGGATACGGTGTGTAAAGCCTTCTCTTCCACTCACCCTAAACCTCATACAATAGCACATGTACCAGTTGATAGCATACTGCTTTATTGATGGTGAAAGTGACAATTCGTCGATATATCATGATATGTAATTTTACAACAGTGAATGAGGAAGGAATTGATTTGAAATATTTCTTCCAATGACCAGCAGGGAACGTTGAAAGTTTCTCGCGAACTGACATTGATCCGCAATCCATGTTCTGGTAACACCTTTAGGGAGGCTTACAACACGTTAAGTTACCGATGTGAGAAGTGATCACATTATGGTTCAAGTGCGTCCTTCTAGTTGGTATGTTAAGTTGATCCCGGTTTACTCTTAACAACTTACATCAATAAAGCCGAGATATTGCTGTGCGAGAATTGTTCCAAAAGTCTCATATGACATAACATTCTTGCACTCGACATATCTGGTATTGAATACCCATACAATTGTCGTCTTCACTTTTGTTTAAATGCATCTCTTTATCTCATAATGTTGTTCCAGATGTAGAAGCCGTAACAATTTGTGAATTATTTCACTGCTCTATCCTACATGCTGTTTATCGCCAATATTCCGGCGAATACATTAAAAAGTGAATTCAAGATTGATGTTGCAAGTCCAGATTGCCTCATAACCTCAAGATTAAGTATTGTTTGGGGATCCATTTGGAGTCGATGTTTTGGTTTTTTTTATTATAAAAAAATAGTTAATTTTCAATGGGTTAACGTTATCAGTGGGGCGAAATGTACGTACACACAGAGAAATCGACTTCTGTTAGTTTAGACATCAAACAATATTATAAATTCCTTGAGGAAAATCAATACTTTTGTAATGTTTTCATGTTTTCAGATGCGGTTAAAACCTTGAATACAGAGAAATTGTTTAACACATTTAAAATGTGTTTTCTTGATCCACAATCCTATTAGCTTGTTTCCTTTCAGAGCGTGTTGAAATAGGTCAACTTCTATAAACATCGAGAGTGATGTAAAAAAGTAATGGCATTACATGTATGAAGTAATGTGTGTGTGTGTGTGTGTGTGTGTTTTAGTTTGAACTGGCAATAAAATTCCGTTTTTCCGTGAACAGTTTACAATGCAGACAAGGGTGACATTTAACAGAGCTGCCCCCAAGGGCAATCACAACGTGCCCGTCTCCGTGGGAGTATTGGATACCGTTATTCAATACAATTATTATCGCCACTTGTATGTATGTTGAGAAAACAACTGATTCAGTCAAGTCCAATGTGTCAGCCAAAATCCACTGGTGGTAGTTAGATAATGTAATTGTTTCCAACCTTCTTAAACAGATGCAACAGCATCAGCACGCTCTTTGACCGTAGAAATGTCGGGCAAGATACCATAGTGCCGGACACCGTCCTTAAGACTAATCTCAGACCCGATTGCCCTACATCGTTAACGACTCACAGGGTCTATTGCTGCAGGATACTATTCACCCCTAGCTGACCAAGCTTTCCTGAGGACCGTTTGTTACGTGACCAGACAACGAAGAAGCCGTTTCTGTCTGCTGGCATTTAAGAGACGTTAAAGAAGACTGGAATACTTAACTGAGATGGATGTACACGTATAGCGCATATGACCTTTATATTGTAGGACTTGTTCATACTCCTTTGAGAGGCATTTTTAAAAGTTGGAGAGTCAGATAAGGACAAACCTGACAACGATACAAGAATCTTTATCGAAATGTCGCACCACCTGAATAAGTGAATGTGTTTAGTTTTACGCCGCACTCAGCAATATTCCAGCTATATGGCGAAGGTCTGTAAATAATCGAGTCGGGATCAGACAATCCAGTGATCAACAGCATGAGCATCGATCTACACAATTGGGATACGATGACGTGTGTTCACCAAGTCAGCGAGCCTGACCACCCGATCCCGTTAGTCGCCTCTTACGACAATCATGGGTTACTGAAGACCAATTCTAACCTGGATCTTCACGGGTCACCACCTGAATAAAGAAGTTGTTTATCCATAACGCTTGTCCTTATCGTGTTCATACTCTTTATCCAACCATAGGAAGCTGGACATCTGCTTTTTCGGGATTGCACATAGATACTTACTGGATGTGTAGTGTCATATATTATATCTTGTGTTGTCGTCATTATGCATCTAGACATTTACATGCTTGTGTTGTCTATATTTTTTGCAGAAGTTATTCGGGTCCATCATTCTGTGCTTTATCTCCGTGAGAGCTTCAAAGTTCAGAAAATACACCTCACCACAGCTATGCAAGTGGCAGGTAAGGAGGACGTACGATAATTAAAGGCACAATGTCACACCACACGTCCCTAAGAACACATAACGCATTTCTCTTAATAATAATTACTATCAGCCTTCAGGGACGCTATCATTATAATTTATCCCCACCCCCACCCCCACAAAAATAATAACGTATTTAGATTACAATATGAAATTAAAAAGTTCGAATGAATTAATGCAACGTTGCATTAAATCGACTCTCGAGCCCTCTACCGGCCGTATATTGTTTCAAGCGAACCCCATAGTGTTATGTCCCTTGGAGCGCTCTTTAGACATATCCTACACACAACTTGTGATTGAAACCAGTTCGGCAAACACCGACAACACCGCGTGCGACAGTCTTCGTTGTACGGACCAATTGTTTACATTCCATATATGGCAAGTGGTATCTGTTTGGAAGCTGTTCGCCTCGAAGTTTCAATTACCGATTTTAGGCAATTCGTAAGGGATAATAAGTCTGTTATTGCATCAATAGGAAGTTAACGTGAGTGCATATGTCCCCAATATATAAAATATAGGTCAAAATATTGTCGAAAATGTGTGACATTGTGCCTTTAAGTTTGAACGGTTTTAAAATCAACACAACATTGTTATTCTACTGTCCTCGGAGAGTAACACCTACCGGAAAGCTTTGACCTCAAAAAGGTTTATAGGAGAAATTGGCTTTGGGTCGATCTTGGACGTACATAATGAGAACTCAACAGGATATAAAATAAAATAGTTATTTCCTTTCTGTGAATATCATTCTGAGAAATTACCTCCTTTGTTTTTGTATTGTCAGAAAATTCGCTAATTATTTCATAGAGCTGGAGCAAAACAAATACGTTTTCGAAAGTCGGATACAACTTATTGTGTACCTTGAGCAGGACTGTAGGCAGTGGAACAAGAAAAGAAAACTGACACCCTCATCTTCTGTTTGCTAACATGTCTTTCATTGCTGGTCATTTCACTGAACTTAGGGGGAACACATTAAGATAAGAAGTAGGATAGGCACCAGATGTGTTCCCCTAATTGTGGATGTGTTTCTTTCAACACCAGTCCAACATAGCCAGCCTTTGGGGCTTAGATTTCACAACTCAATAAAGCTGTGGAGGATATTTCAAAATTTGAGGCATCTGTGACTAAAATCAAGCAAATCCCCATTTTGATTTTTTCAGGCAAAGAATTGACAAGCCTTTGCATGTATGTGTATGACAGGTGCCACTGGTGGGGCAGGATAAGCTCAACTTTTCGCGAACACATGGTATCATCACTATTTCCTGGCGATTCATAAACACACGCTATGTATTCAAGTGTCAATCACTGGATTGTCTAGTTCAGAGTCGACTGTTCACAGATCGCGTCGCACAGCTGTTATAGGAACTGCTGAATGCGGCGTCAAACGAACACATACTCATGATATAGTCAGAATTGTAAATCGACTCTGCTTTTAGCAGACACTTCTTATTGATGTGGTTTTGTCGTTTCTATCTATTGAAAAGTTGATAAGGAAAGATCAATGGCACTCTTATCTACAGTTTACTGACATGAATCTCAACGCTGATCATTTCCCTGAACTTGATATAATGACAAAGTGTGACAAGACGTTAATGCATCTGCCTGTCATCATGTCATGGCAATCAACTTGGGTTATTTGACTCTGACTTCAGTTTGGGCTTAACGTGGCTTAATGTTTATGTACACCATGACACGTGGGATGAATGCGGGAGCAAGGCTAAAGTGACGCCTGTGGTATAGATTTACCACACTGACGGCATTCACCAGCGATGTTACTGTGCGAACAGATCATTGGGTCTGTGATTTGAGACCTCGAGTGGAATTCGAGCGGAGCCAGGCACCATACTGCACACAGTAAACTGTTCATCAACACAAATTTATAGTTTGAAATGAACCTTCTTCCATGTGAGTAGACTCAGATAGGGGTGTTCAATTTATGTCAGGACACTTCTTGTTCCGTCCACACCAGCCCGTGAAGATCCGGGTTAGAATTGGTCTTCAGCAACCCATGCTTGTCGTAAGAGTCGACTAATGGGTCGGGTGGTCAGGCTCGCTGACTTGGTTGACACATGTCATCGTATCCCAATTGCGTAGATCGATGCTCATGCTGTTGATCACTGTAATGTCTGATCCAGACTTGATTATTTACAGACCGTCGCCATATAGCTGGGATATTGTTGTGCAGTGTTAAACAACGATCAACTAAGCCCAAACCGTCCACACCATAACAAATAGCGTGACGTCGTAACTGGCTATAAAATGCAAGTCTGATTTGACTGATTAGAGAAAGGTGTCTGAGGCTGCTGGGTCAGGGCTCAGGACAGCAAGAGACGCGCGGATGCTATCTTAAGCCTCAATCTGCAGTTGCATTTACTCCCACTTATGAGCACATCACATTATGGTGAAGCCAATGCACACCTGAAAGGAGTCTAACAAGAGGAAATCACCTTTTCTTATTTGCAGAAAGTTATTTCCCCACAAATAAAAATAAATGACCTTGCCTATGGAAGCTGCATGATTTCACCTGTTTTGTAGAGGATGAGATCCTATGTATTCCACTGTTAGTTCTGATGTGGAACCACGTCCCATCCTGGGTGACTGTTCACAGTGATTAATTGTTAGGACTTTGTTGCGCAAAGAGTCCTTTGCAGCACCTTACTAAGTTCAGGTCCACTTCTGATCCGTTGCCTGTTAATTATTGTTGTTTCATCTGTTCCTGTATTTCCTTTGGTATTATGTACGTATCTAGCAAGATGGTATTATCTGTTTAAACCTCACATTACAAAACAAAGACCTGGATATATGAAGCCCACAGATCCCCATGAATCCACTGGGATAATTCGTAATTGTGAAAATATACATCTGTAGTGTTACTTTTTCATAGTAAAACATTCCATTACTCTAATAAGTTCTTTCCCTCTACTTCTCTTATAGAAGTCTAGTTCCATAAAACACCCTCAAAACTCACCATCCTGTCAATTTCAAACATTAAATATTACAGTAAGAATGAATAAAAACACATTCGTGTTTGCCTCTATATGTAGAAAATGCTAGATTATGATCAAACAATATTCTTACTTCGCTGTAATGTCTTGCATTGTATTGTGTCAAATCCTTCTATTTTTGTCTTCCAGTGTGCTATGCTGTATTTCTGCTACGCCGGCGTCCTCGTTCTTGGAACCTTGAACGTGGTATTGACCTTCAGTGAAACGGACATACAGCTGTCTTTAATCCAGGATCATAGCCGTGTACCTATGTTCCCAATGGGTATAGCCTCAGCAGCTCTCATTGCAGTAGACCTTCTCGGAGGCATTGTCTGCATGGTGATATTCTGTTTATACAAACATCAAGGTGAACCTGGGTTTCATGCTAAGTATAATCCCTCGATTCAGCACAACGAACACATCGAAAAGGAAGTGAATTACCGGTTGATGATGCTAAGGAAAATGTTACCAAAGTATTCAGCGGGGCACTTAGCGCCACATGGTGGCGTGACGTCATCTGCGGTGCACAAACAGAATACACAAACACACGTGGACCAAAAAGGATACTATGTGTGGGATGTCCTTCCAACCCTGGATTGATAAAACAGTAACTGGTGGCCATGGTCACTTGCTTTTGTAACACACCCTCTGCCTTTTGTTAACAAATTGAATCTTTAAAGTATGATTAATTCTTGTTTAAAAAATAGTTGGTGGTCTGTTATATTGAAACTATTACTCTTGAAGGTGAAACATGAGATCACCATGTGGGCATGAAAGGGACCTTTCATCGAGTTCATCACCATCATGAGGACATGAAAGGGGCCTTTAATCGAGCTCATCACCATCATGGGGACACGAAAGGGGCCTTTCATCGAGTTCATCACCATCATGAGGACATGAAAGGGACCTTTCATTGAGTTCATCGCCATCATGAGGACATGAAAGGGACCTTTCATCGAGTTCATCACCATCATGAGGTCATGAAAGGGACCTTTCATCGAGCTCATCGCCATCATGAGGACATGAAAGGGACCTTTCATTGAGTTCATCACCATCATGGGGACAAGAAAGGGACCTTTCATCGAGTTCATCACCATCATGAGGACATGAAAGGGACCTTTTATCGAACTCATCACCATCATGGGGACATGAAAGGGACCTTTAATCGAGTTCATCACCATCATGAGGACAAGAAAGGGACCTTTCAACGAGTTCATCACCATCAGCAAGTTTCGATTGTATGATCATTGTGTTTGTTCTTTGTTTTCCACCAGCTGTTTCACTATGAATAATTGAGCCAGGATCATTATTATTATTAACAACGTCCCACGCCCTTTTATCATCGAAAAAGGCACAGATTTTTTCAAATAGTCTTTTCGTGAATATGCTCTGCCCTTCCGGACACGTTGGGAACGTAGACAAGAAGAATAACAGAATCATCTCAGACAAACGAAATGTTCTTGGTGTTGATTAATTAATTTATATATATATATATGAATATAGTATAAAATGTTGATAAATGTGTTTATAATTTTCTCAGATTGATGCTCAAAATGTCAAACACAGGTTTGGCGGGTCCAGATTCGATCATTTGCAGACTGTCCAAACTCATGTCTGAGGGCAATCATTAAGTATATTTGTTGGTAATATCTGTGAAATCGATTGCGGTTGTGTGAATGCCAACGAACGGAGAGAATCACAGGGTTCCATGATCAAAGCATGTCGACACACTGTTCAGGTAGAATGACCCGTAAAGATCCGATTTAGAATTGATCTTCAGTAACCCAAGCTTGTCGTAAGAGGCGACTAACGGGATCGGTGGTCAGGCTAACTGACTTGGTTGACACATGTCATCGTATCCCCATTGCGTAGATCGATGCTCATGCTGTTGATCACTGGGTTGTCTGGACTCGATTATTTATAGACCGCTGCCATATAGCTGGAATATATTGTTGAGTGCGGCGTAAAACTATACTCACTCACTCACTCACTCACTCAGCTGGAATGAGAGACAAGCAATATCAAGGACAACACCACACAAGTTATTAAACGGCATATGATGACGGTGCATCACCCATAATGGTGGACACACCAGACAGTGAACTACACGCTCGAAACCAATTTTATATTAATTACATAACATTTTAATCAATTTGACATGCACCTTCACTCTCATTTCATCATCTCAAGGCATGTTTGCACGACATTTTCGTTAACGCGAGAGTTAAAATTTATGGTCACATCTTCCGTATTTCACCCATATCGTCATGAAGAAAGTCCCAGTCATGATACGAAAAGATAGATAATAAAACCTGCCAATAAAGGAAAGTAAAAACAACTAGAATATCACAGACATAGATGTGAAACTACATTAATCCTGAATTCCTGTTTATATTCAGGACAATCTTAATGTAAACCCTGTCAGAATTGTTCACATTCTATTACAGTCATATAACTGGATTAGTGACATTAAAAATACATATAATTTCTAACATATGTTATATTTGGGATTACACTTTCTTAGTAAAATACAGATTCTAGTACTTTTTGGGTTGAGTCCCATCCGGGATTCGAATCCACACCCTCGGAGTCAGTCACCTAATCGCCAGCACGCAAAGTCATATGTTACATTTGACCACTTTTTAAAATGGCATTGTGTATTTCATATAATTTCTAGTCATAACATTGAAGTTGCGTCAAAGCAAGGCTACTATAACCACATCTGGTGATATGAGCATATCGACGTATTGCTGTGAAGCAGCAGCCAGAATAACAACGTCCCTAGGAAGACAGGATATGTTTCACTGTAGCCCCTGCTGAACTGAAGGTGAGGTGAGGTGAGGTGAGGCGAGGTGAGGTGAAATTGGGTTGAACGTCGTAGTTGAGAATATTTCGCTCATATGACGACGTGCATGCGTGTGTATGTGTATGTGCGGCTGCTTGAACTAGCCCGGACTGAAGCTGGTTTTATAGTGCTAACCCACTGAGATACCATGCCGCAGTGAAGCATGAATACCCCACTCAGACACATTATACTGTCTCCGAGCCGACCAGTCCTTGTTGTACCCATTAATGCCGAGCGCCAGGCAGGGACCATCTTTTGGTATGACGCGGTCGGGGATCGAACCCGCGACCTTCCGCTCTCCAGGGCGGACGCTCTAACCACTACACCACGGAGGCGGTCCTGAACTGAAGGAAGTTATGCCGTTTCCGTGTCGGTCTGTAACTACAGAAATCAACCATACTTCCTTCTTTAAGAAGGAGATGCTCTGGGGAGGATTTGAGTAAACAATAAAATTGAAACCTCTCGTGTTCAGTGAATATTTAAAGACGAGCATCCCGAGACGTATCTCGTTGAAACATCGATTGTTTTAACTACAAGCATACTTGTTTTACTAGAATCTGTTCGCCGGCAAACCTGTGAGGATATAATGTGGTTCCCTTTGCCCCGTGCTTTAGAGCCAAGCTTGTCACAGCATTTAGATATAGACTGTGTAGTTAAGAGTAGGAAAGGAAGTTGATTCGTTACTGTTTTCACAAATCATACATCATACCTATTAAATAAGTTTATTTTTTGCATATGTTACCACAACTTCGTTTGCTTTATTAACTGGCCAGTGAACGATACAATATTGTATACTGTATAGATTCATCGCTGGAATCTGCTCTCATGCCTTTACAGAAACAGTTGGGTGATTTTTTTTGTGGATTGTTGGTTTGACAGCCCAAAATAGTTACCACGACTGGGACCATTTCTGACAAAAAACTAAAAAGGACACTTTGTAGTGAGTAATTATGCCATACATTTTCCAATAGTATGTGGGGCGGTGGGGAAGCCTAGTGACGTCGAAGACACAGGTTCGATTCCCCACATGGGTACAATGTGTGAAGCCCATTTTTGGTGTCCCCCACCGTGATATTGCTGGAATATTGCGAATATTCACTCTCTCACTCACCTTATGGTATGCCCCTGATGTAGAATCATCTACCACTATATCGTGAGCTAGACACATGTACATTCTATAGGGAAAACCTGGGTATATTTTGTATGGCTCTTTGGCATTGATAAGTATTGAATACAACTGAAATGTACATCTACTGTCATCGATCAATTGACACATGAAGATTTGTTGGTTGGTTTGTTGTTCAATGCCGCATTCAGCAATATTCCAGCTCTAAGACGGCGGTTTGTAAATAATCGGGTCTGGACCAGACAATCCAGTGATCAGCATTATAAGCATCGATCTACCCAATGGGGATACGATGACATGTGTCAACCAAATCAGCGAGCCTGACCACCTAATCCCGTAAGTCGCCTCTTATGACAAGCATGGGTTGCTGAAGATCAATTCTAACCCGGATCTTCACGGGTTCATTGTGAGACGGACTCATGGTGGTATCGCTGAATTGACTTTTATTGCATCTCAGAATGAGTTTTTCACAAACCATTAATCCAGTCACAAGAGGCAGCATCGAAGAGAATGTAAATCGTGGTCTGTCCAATCCAGTGGAACCAGTGCTCCTCCGAGTGCTGTAGCGTTCAGACCCAGGAAGATGTAGATGACGACAACACCTTCACAATCCCAGGCAGGCGATGTCGATGTCCCAAAGACGTATCTGTGAATGGAAAGCAAACCCATCACAACAAAATGACTGAAAACTTATTTCGCATTGTGTCGGTTAAACACTTAGATACTTCTACCGACAAGGAGGATGTAGATGACGGACAACACCTTTACAAGCCCAAGAAGGCGGTGAGATAAATAACTGCAGCCGCTGATCGTATCAACTGTCTTTTTTCTAATCAACTTGTCCAAAACTGACTTCGTCCCATGGTTTTACATTCTTATGACATGTCTCTGAAAAATGAATCATCAGCTGACACACCGTATTCTGATAAGAAAACAGGAATAAACTGTTCGTTTTTTGTACAGTTGATTGATTGGTCACAATCCTGCTGTATCTCAGTCAACAAGGTTTCAACGACACTGCGTATTGCAGTGCAATATGACAAAGTTTGAAGAGGAAAGCTAATTGACATCGGTAAACGTGTTGCTGCATGTTTTTTGAATTACCAAAGAAGGCTGCAGTGGTATGAGACGCCAATGATGGGGCTCACACTCAACTATTGTGCTGATATTAACGACCACAATTACATCAGTACATCACTCTGGGATGTGTAGTGAATACCAAGAAACAGCATTACAGGATGGAAATTGTATGTACGGGAATGCGTAAACATGTTACACAACATTTATTTATCTCTTCCTATTGTTGCGCTCAGTTCCCGAGTCATTAAGTTTCAGTGAAAATATCAGGTCCATTCAATAGATGGATGCGGAGTAAAGAGCCTTCTCGTCCACTCACCCTAAACTTTATACAATAAACGCACGTATCAGAAGGGTCGACAGCATACTGGCTTACTGATGGTGAAATTGATAATTTTGAAGTCGCTACATCATGCTATATAATTTTCACTGAAAACTATGGAATCCTGGAAGGGACATTGTCGCCCTCTCAAAAACAAGCAAAATGAGGCAAAATTAACCAAAGCGCGACAACGCGACATTTCGGCCATTTGTCGCATTGTCGCGATGTCGCATGTCGCGCTTTAGTCAATGTTTAGGCTTTTTCACACATGTTAGATAGGGCGACAATGCGACAACGCGACATATTTTGACCTTGAAAATTGTCGCTATTTCGCATTGTCGCCCTTTGGAGGAATAGAAAAATATTGTTCAAGGTCAAAATATGTCGCGTTGTTGCATTGTCGCCCTATCTAAGATGTGTAAAAAAAGCCTAAAACTTGACTAAAACGCGACATGCGACAATGCGACAAATGGCCGAAATTTCGCGTTGTCGCGCTTTGGTTAAATTTTCCTCATTTTGCTTGTTTTTGAGAGGGGCGACAACGTGACAATGTCCCTTCCAGGATTCCTTACAAAACACACTTTGTCGGCAAATACATAGTGAGTGAGCATTGATTTACGCCGCTTTTAGCAATATTCCAGCAACATCACGGCGGGGGAATCGAACCTGGGTCTATGGCAAGAAGAGCGAATGCTTTAACCATTAGGCTACCCCACCCCCCGTACGAAGACATTAATGCTGACCCTTGTATTTGCAGAGGATATTAACATCTTATTGATAAAGCTATAAATTTGATCTCTTATAATTAATCTGAGCTTTCCCATTGTCTGTATGCACTTAAACTGAAATGAGCCATTAGGCAAATATAGAATTGAAATTGAATAAAATTATTTGCTTGGCCGAGATCAGCTTTGTATTTTTGTTACAATGAATTTGATATCTAAATTAGTACATAGGCGTCCCTTTAAGCTTTCTCTTTTAACTCTAAATTGCCATGAATATATTGAATATCTGCCACTTGATTCAGTACATTACTTAACTTCAAACAGATTAACCTAAATGCACCATCATGATTTCCATAATGTGAATAACGGATCAATCTTTATTCCGGTACTCAAAAGGCCTCAGGCGTATAGTACACTATGCACATAT